CCCCATCGGTGTTGTCATTGGGAGGAACTGTGCCCCATCGGTGGTGTCATTGGGAGGAACTGTGCCCCATTGGTGTTGTCATTGGGAGGAACTGTGCCCCAACGGTGGTGTCATTGGGAGGAACTGTGCCCCATCGGTGTTGTCATTGGGAGGAACTGTGCCCTATTGGTGTTGTCATTGGGAGGAACTGTGCCCCAACGATGGTGTCATTGGGAGGAACTGTGCCCCAACGGTGGTGTCATTGGGAGGAACTGTGCCCCAACGGTGGTGTCATTGGGAGGAACTGTGCCCCAACGGTGGTGTCATTGGGAGGAACTGTGCCCCATTGGTGTTATCATTGGGAGGAATTGTGCCCCAACGATGGTGTCATTGGGAGGAATTGTCCCCCAACAATGGTGCCAGTGAATGAAAGAGCGCCCTAAAGGCTAGATAAAAGCAAGCAATGGGCTGCATCTGGTCCCCTGGCGGCAGTTTGGAGACCACTGGTCTCATCATTCATGGGTTTGTACACCCATGCAAGGGATTACGCACGTTAATTCCCCTGTTGGGCCTTCCCTCCAACCATGGAACCTACTTCTAGTATTGTTGAAGGTACAAAGACCTCCACTTGATTTTATTTGGGACATCATCTTGGTGTTACTATCCAGTAAGGTAGCTTTTATTGTAGCCATCACTTCAGCCAGAAGGGTTTCTACGTTTTCAGCTTTGTCCTGTAGGGAGCCCCATTAGTTTTAAGTGGTTTGTGCTTTTTATTTTAATGAGCACATTGTTAACCCTTCTGTGTCCAGCTCCTGTTCACCCCAAGGTGATCTCTTCCCATTGGCTGGAAGTGATGAGGGCTATCGGGATCTACCATAATGCTGCTTGTGGGCTCTGGTGGTCATCTGTAGTTCCACCGAATCAATGTATCTTCCTCTGCAGATGCTAGTCAGCCGACTCCAAGAAAAGGTTTTTATGGTGAGCGCCAAAATCCTATTTTTTTCGGCGGCTTGTGTATGGCCAAATTATGCGGCTACAGAATTTTGTTGATTTCAGCAACTCTGTCATTTGCAATGAGTGACGGTTATTTCTTGGCACGGCTCAGCACATTGTGAAAGGTTTTGTAGACGAGCTGCTGAGCAGTCTGTATTCTGCTCCTTTCTGCTGCTTGGGATGGGGGGGGGGGGGCGTTGGGTTGTCCGATATTGCTTTTAGAGCGTGCCTCCTGGGACTTGATTTTCATTTTGTTTCATTACAGGAAAGGCTTTTTCTGAGGGACTTTTAACTCCTCCCCCCCCCCCCCCGGCCGTACGCCTATATGCTACCTCTCTGTGGGTGCGCCAAGAGGCCGCATATATGCGTACCTAAAAAGAAACAGAGCTGTGCTGAGAGTGCGCACCCAGAAAACTACCCATCTCTACTTGCGATCGGGAGCTTTCCGTGCATCCAGTCACGACGGTCACATGATCAGAAGCTCCGCCTCCTGACATCTAAAACCGCTTAAAGGGCTGGAAGGTGCCAGCGCCAAGGGGTTAAAGTGTATGTAGACCCTAACAATGAAGTTCTCCGATTGGCTCTCCCTTTTTGGTCTTTTAAATATTCAGTTGAAAGTGTTTTGTAGTATCTGTTTGATATATACATACTAAATCATTGAGCACAGTGGCTAAGTGGTTAGCACTTCCGCCTGGCAGTACTAGTGCCGTTGGTTTGAATTCCACCTTCCTGGTGTTTGCATGTTCTCCCTGTACCTGCGTGGGTTTCCTCCCGCACTCCAAATATATGATGGGAACACTGTATGATGGTAACACTGTATTGCTCTGGTCACTGTATGTGAAAAAAAAAAAAGAAAAATTGTAAAAAATAAATTAAATAAAAAAGAATTAAAAAAAGAATTGTTGAAATTTTTTTTGGTTTTGTTTTTTTTGTTTACATACTGTCAACAGTCAGTGTCCCTGATCACCAGTTATATGATGATGCTGTGCTGCACTGGTGACCGAATTTAAAAAAAAAATTGTGACAATTTTTTTGTTTTTTGTTTTTTTTTTTTTTTTTCTTATTTCTTCTGATGACAAAAATTTGTGACAAAAAATTACAACTTCAAAAAACTCTCCATGCTTTTTACTAATTACCTTGGACTGCCTGCTTTCCAAAAAGGGGTCATTTGGGGGGTATTTGTACTGTCCTGACATTTTTGGGGCCTCAAGAAATGAGATCAGTATCAGGATTGATCGGTTTTCAGATATATCCCATGGTTTGTGGATTCTATAATTTTCCTACAGACTAAATAATAAATACTGATTTGGGTTATTTTTCACAAAAGAAATGTAGCAGAATACAAATTGGTCTAAATTTATGAAGAAAAATGATTTATTTTGAAAATGTTATAACAGAAACGAAGAAGAGCATGTGTTTTTTTTTTGTTTCTTTGCTTTGTTTTTTTTTTTTTGTTTTTGTTTTTTTTTTTTTTTGTTTGTTTTTTTAATTTTTGGTCTTTTTTAATTTCTTTAGCAAAATTTTTTTTTTTTAAAAGCGGTGATTCATCATTTGAGTAATGAGTTGCATGACTGCGCAATTGCCATTCAAAGTGTTGAAAGCTGAAAATTGGCCTGGGCAGGAAGGGAGCGACAGTGTCCAGTATTGAAGTGGTTGAAGGGATAAAAGACGAGGAAATGTGTATATCTTGTAGAGATGTACTTTGTATATGTTTTATTTTTGCCATGACATATGCTTTAAAGGATAAGTTCATCTTTAATAAAAAAAAAAAGTATAATAAATGCACATTTTTTGCAGGGGAAAAAAATGTGCATTTAAAATTTTTTTTTTTTTTTTTTAACTGTTCAGCCTGTAAGTCATTGCACCAGCGATCAGCAGATTGTGGGTGCAATGCCTGAATCCTGCAGACTTGTGAGTACAGTGTCTGCTTGGACATCCGATACAGGAAGCTACTGAATGGCAGGAAGAATCAATGGACTATTAGCACTCCTTGCAGTTCTTTGAGAACTGCAAGCTGTCGGCCCTGGAGGCCCACAGTAGTTGTAGTTCATTCACAGAACTCTGTAAATGAATGAACGATGCAGCCATGTGGGTGGAGCCTGAAACATTATTATTATTATACAGGATTTATATTATTATTATTATACAGGATTTATATATTATTATTATATACAGGATTTATATTATTATTATACAGGATTTATATTATTATTATACAGGATTTATATATTATTATACAGGATTTATATATTATTATTATTATTATACAGGATTATATTATTGTTATTATACAGGATTTATATTATTATTATTATTATACAGGATTTATATATATGTTATTATTATTATTATACAGGATTTATATATTATTATTATACAGGATTTATATATTATTATTATACAGGATTTATATTATTATTATTATTATATACAGGATTATTATTATTATTATACAGGATTTATATATTGTTATTATTATACAGGATTTATATATTGTTATTATACAGGATTATGTTATTATTATTATTATTTTTATACAGGATTTATATATTATTATTATACAGGATTTATATTATTATTATTATTATACAGGATTTATATATTATTATTATACAGGATTTATATATTATTATTATACAGGATTATTATTATTATACAGGATTTATATATTATTATTATACAGGATTTATATTATTGTTTATTATACAGGATTTATATATTATTATTATTATTATTTTAATATACAGGATTTATATATTATTGTTATTATACAGGATTTATATTATTATTATTATTATACAGGATTTATATATTATTATTATACAGGATTTATATTATTATTATTATATACAGGATTTATATATTATTATTATTATACAGGATTTATATATTATTATTATACAGGATTTATATTATTATTATTATTATACAGGATTTATATTATTATTATTATACAGGATTTATATATTGTTATTATTATACAGGATTTATATATTATTATTATTATTATTATTATTATACAGGATTTATTTTATTATATTTATTATTATTATTACAGGATTTATATATTATTATTATTATACAGGATTTATATTATTATTATACAGGATTTATATATTATTATTATTATACAGGATTTATATATTATTATTATTATACAGGATTTATATTATTATTATACAGGATTTATGGCGCCAACAGTTTGCTCAGCGCTTTACAATATAACGGGAGACAATACAGCAACAATACAGTTCAATACAAGAGGGATAGGAGGGCCCTGATCCTTGGAGCTTACAATCTACGAGGGAGGGGCTGGTGGAACTAAAGGTAGTAACTGTGGGGGATGGACTGGTAGGAGGAGTAGAAGATTCCATTATTAGCTGAGGGCAGGATAGGCTTCCCTGAAGAGAGAGGTTTTCAGAGATCGCCTAAAGGTGAGCAGAGTAGGCGATAGTCTGATAGATTGGGGTAGAGAGCTCCAGAGGATGGGGGAGGCTTTGGAGAAGTCCTGGAGACGAGTATGGGAGGAGGAGACGACAACTAGAAAGCAGGAGGTCGTGCGAGGAGCGGAGAGTACAGTTTGGGTGATATTTGGAAACATTGTTTTTAAGTTGTGAAGACTGGTGCAGAGAGCAGGTCCCTCGCCTGCTGTCACAGGGAGGGGGTGAAGTGGTAGGAAAGGAGGCTGGAGCTGAAACATGTTACGTGTTCTACCCTAAATACAGGTGCAACATGTAACCTGTTCCAAAAGGTGAATTTATCCTTTAAGCTTTGCAACTTCGTGTGCTTGCAGGGGCTTTTAGTAGCTGGAAGGCCACAGATTGCCTAGATGAGGGACATCACAGAACTGACCAATTATTGCAAATTGTTTGTTTTAGAATTGCAACACAGTGAAGGACTAAAACCAATTGATGTGAGAACAGTGTCTTGAACTGGTGAAAATTATTCTATGAACAGCAAAAAGTTAGAGTAGACATCCATGCTGAATAATTTTTGCTGTATTTTTTTTCCCCTTTTCATCTGCACAGGATTGCCGGGTGGTGGTACGAGTGGATTCCTGGGAGTCTACCTCTCTGTATCCTAATGGACACTTTGTGAGAGCATTGGGACCCATTGGTGACCTGGAGACAGAAATTCAAAGTATTCTGGTGGAGAATAGTATCAGTGTGAACCCCTTCTCCGAAGCCCAGGTCAGTTGTCCTAATCTCTAATGATTGAGGAATAACCTTCACCATGTTATAGTCCAGCCTTTCTCAACCAGGGTGCCTTGAGGGTTTCTTCAGGGGTGCCTTGGTCTAAAATGTCTTAAAATTGCCCAAAAACTTGTATACAAAGCAGGGGGTGGAACAAGCCAGCCTTTTAGTTACACAAAGCCACAGGTTTTCATTGAGCACCATTACGACCTTCTAGCCATCGGCATCCTGACAACCAATGACATCATCAATTGATAAGGAGAATGTCAGCTGCCTGCACAGCATCCTAGTTTGACTTTCCCCTTCCCCTCTCCTTCAGTGCTGGGGGTCACATCAGCTCAGTGATGGGAGAAAAACTGAGGGAGAAGAGAAACCATGGAATACTAGTCAGTACCAGTGTGCAAAAGTGTATTTGCTTTGGAAGAAATAAATCCCCTCTAATGTTGGGTATCCTATAAGTGTGGATGTTGCTGCGTTATATAAAGCTATTAGAATAGAATGGGGTGCCCTTTTAAAATTATGGACAGTCTTGAGGCACCCCATTTTAGAATGGGGTGCCTCAAGACTGTCCATAATTTTAATTAAGGGGTGTCACAGGACTGTCCATAGCTTTAAAGGGCGCCTTGACTGAAAAAAGATTGAGAAACACTGTTATAGGATATAGCCACAGCATGTTGATTTCAGACTTGGTAGATTGATTATAATGTTGAAATGTGTAAGTCACTCTATGGTCTTGTTCACATGGGGCAATTACATGCATGACTTATACAGGCCCATGTTTGACCGACACTGGGATGCACAGGGGTTGCATGTATCCCCGTGCTGGCATTCCCATTGTTTTTTATTGGGACAGAGTGGCTGCACAGACACAGCCGCTATGTCCCAATATGACATCCGTATGGGTACGGGTGCACACCCTATGTGGATGTGGGGGTACACCCTGTTTTTTATTGGGACACAGCAACTGCATGGACACAGCTGCTATGTCCCAATATGACATCCGTATGGGTATGGGTGGACACCCTGTGTGGATGTGGGGTCACACCCTGTTTTTTATTGGGACACAGCCACTATGTCCCAATATGACATCCATATGGGTACGGGTGCACACCCTGTGTGGATGTGGGGGCACACCCTGTTTTTTTATTGGGACACAGCAGCTGCATGGACACAGCCACTATGTCCCAATATGACATTTATGTGGGTTGGGGTGCACACCCTGTGTGGATGTGGGGGGCACACCCTGTTTTTTTATTGGGACACAGCCGCTATGTCCCAATATGACATCCGTATGGGTATGGGTGCACACCCTGTGTGGATCTGGGGGGCACACCCTGTTTTTTATTGGGACACAGCAGCTGCATGGATACAGCCGCTATGTCCCAATATGACATCCATGTGGGTTGGGGTGCACACCCTGTGTGGATCTGGGGGGCACACCCTGTTTTTTATTGGGACACAGCAGCTGCACACAGCCGCTATGTCCCAATATGCATCCATGTGGGTTGGGGGGCATGTTTTTTTATTGGGACACAGCAGCTGCATGGACACAGCTGCTATGTCCCAATATGACATTCATGTGGGTTGGTGGTGCACACCCTGTGTGGATCTGGGGGGCACACCCTGTTTTTTATTGGGACACAGCAGCTGCATGGACACAGCCGCTATGTCCCAATATGACATCCATGTGGGTTGGGGTGCACACCCTGTGTGGATGTGGGGGCACACCCTGTTTTTTTTTATTGGGACACAGCAGCTGCATGGACACAGCCGCTATGTCCCAATATGACATCTATGTGGGTACCGATGCACACCCTGTGTGGATGTGGGGGCACACCCTGTTTTTATATTGGGGCACAGCCACTATGTCCCAATATGACATCCATGCGGGTACGGGGGCACACACTGTTTTATTGGGACACAGCAGCTGCATGGATACAGCTGCTATGTCTCAATATGACATCCATGTGGGTTGGGGTGCACACCCTGTGTGGATGTGGGGGGCACACCCTGTTTTTTTTATTGGGACACAGCCGCTATGTCCCAATATGACATCCGTATGGGTATGGGTGCACACCCTGTGTGGATCTGGGGGGCACACCCTGTTTTTTTATTGGGACACAGCAGCTGCATGGATACAGCCGCTATGTCCCAATATGACATCCATGTGGGTTGGGGTGCACACCCTGTGGATGGATCTGGGGGGCACACCCTGTTTTTTATTGGGACACAGCAGCTGCATGGACACAGCCGCTATGTCCCAATATGACATCCATGTGGGTTGGGGGGCACACCCTGTGTGGATTTTTATTGGGACACAGCAGCTGCATGGACACAGCCTATGTCCCAATATGACATTCATGTGGGTTGGGGTGCACACCCTGTGTGGATCTGGGGGGCACACCCTGTTTTTTATTGGGACACAGCAGCTGCATGGACACAGCCGCTATGTCCCAATATGACATCCATGTGGGTTGGGGTGCACACCCTGTGTGGATGTGGGGGCACACCCTGTTTTTTTTTTATTGGGACACAGCAGCTGCATGGACACAGCCGCTATGTCCCAATATGACATCTATGTGGGTACCGATGCACACCCTGTGTGGATGTGGGGGCACACCCTGTTTTTATATTGGGGCACAGCCACTATGTCCCAATATGACATCCATGCGGGGTACGGGGCACACACTGTTTTATTGGGACACAGCAGCTGCATGGATACAGCCGCTATGTCTCAATATGACATCCATGTGGGTTGGGGTGCACACCCTGTGTGGATGTGGGGGCACACCCTGTTTTTTTATTGGGACACAGCAGCTGCATGGACACAGTCACTATGTCCCAATATGACATCTATGTGGGTTGGGGTGCACACCCTGTGTGGATGTGGGGGCACACCCTGTTTTTATATTGGGGCACAGCCACTATGTCCCAATATGACATCCATGCGGGTACACAGCACACAACTGTTTTATTGGGACACAGCAGCTGCATGGATGCAGCTGCTATGTCTCAATATGACATCCATGTGGGTTGGGGTGCACACCCTGTGTGGATGTGGGGGCACACCCTGATTTTTTATTGGACACAGCAGCTGCATGGACACAGCCGCTATGTCCCAATATGACATCCATGTGGTTGGGGTGCACACCCCCCGTGTGGATGTGTGAGGGCACACCCTGTTCATTGGGACACAGCAGCTGCATGGGACACAGTCACTATGTCCCAATATGACATCTATGTGGGTTACCGGTTGCACACCCCATGTGGGGGCACACCCTGTTTTTATATTGGGACACAGGCATGGCACACAGTCACTATGTCCCAATATGACATCCATGTGGGTACTGGGCACACACTGGGGTGCACACAGCAGCTGCATGGATGCCCTATGTGTATGATGTGGTTGGGGTGCACACCCTGTTTTTTTTTTTATTGGGACACAGCAGCTGCATGGACACAGCCGCTATGTCCCAATATGACATCCATGTGGGTTGGGGTGCACATCCCGTGTGATGTGGGGGGCACACCCTGTTTTTTTATTTGGGACACAGCAGCTGCATGGACACAGTCACTATGTCCCAATATGACATCCATGTGGGTTGGGGTGCACACCCTATGTAGATGTGGGGGCACACCCTTTTTTTTTTTTGGGACACAGCAGCTGCGTGGACACAGCCGCTGTGTCCCAATATGACATCCAAGTGGGTGAGCAAAAATGCGTGACCCATAGGGTGGCATGTGCATTTTGGGACCCGCACTCACATGGATGTCATATGATTGGGCACCGCAGCTGTGTCCCTATAGATAACAGTGGGACTGCCAACACAGGGAAGCATGGAATACCTGTCCATCCCTGTCCTGGTAAAACACAGCACAGTAATCGCTCCATGTGAACAAGGCCTATGTCAACGGTTCGCAGAAAAAAACTGTAAATGAGGCTCCTCCTCCTTCCGTTTATAGTCTGTAATAAAGATTATAGGGAATATGTCAGTGCAGAGCTTTACACTTTTCCATTTCCTCCCTCTACAGCTGGCAGAAATGCCTACAAACAGTCCAGAGAACCCATGGAGGGTGGCACCAGAAGAGGGAGATCGGCGTGATCTACGCACTACTCATTTGGTGTTCAGTATCGACCCAAAGGGCTGCGAGGACGTAGATGATACTTTGTCTATTCGGGAGCTAAACAATGGGCACTTGGAGCTGGGTGTTCACATTGCAGACGTCACACACTTTGTGACACCAAACTCTTACACTGATATGGAAGCAAAAGCAAGGTCAGTAGAAGTAAAGCGTCATTGTTGCTTGTGTATAGTGGCTTCCCTGTCCCAGAGCAACCTCAAGTCTCAGATGTATTGTCGCCGGCTAAAGAAGTGCATATCTAATTATAACAGCAAATTTATATTATAAACGTATCAAGTTTTAGTGTATGAAATTTAAAGAGGAACTGCACTGCATCTGAGCACCACAAACCAAAAATGCTATAGAATTCATTTTTAATATTCCCAAAAAAAAAATTCCTCAATGCTTTATTTTGCTGAGAAATCATTTTGAAAACACCCTCCTAGCATTTTCTGGCAGTGGCCATCTTGAGTAAAGGGCGGATGATTCATGTAGCAGTTACTTCCTGGAATCCATCTGTCTTTAGCTCTGGCATTTGGCTGAGCTCCTCCCTCCCTTCCTAAAGACTCCTGGGATGTATGACATCGTTTGCCTAGGCATGGAAACCAGGAAGTAAATGAATGAATGCAAAAAACAGGTTAAAACAAGTAAATTATAATTATACTTTCCTATCTATTTACTAATACGAGCAGCATAAGGGTTAGGCCCCCTGTACACGGGACACTTCTGAACGATGGAAATTGACTGCTGGAAAACGTAGGTTAAAAAACGTCTGTTTAGCCGCTTTTGCATAACGTGTTTATGTGCATTTCTGTTTAGAAGCGTTTTTTAAAGAGAAGCACAGGAAAACCTCCTAAATTAAAAAAAAAAATTCAAACGCAAACACTTATAAACGCGATTTGCCACGTTTAGCCGCTTTTTCAAGCAGTTTGCGTTTGAAACGCTAGTAAAATCTACTCCAGAACACAAGTTTGGTGCATTCAAAAAAACGACTGTAAACTCAACTGCCTATAAACGACGATGTGTACACAGAGACAGAGGAGAACATTAGGGAGAGTTCAGGGGCTGCTGAGAAAAACGCTGAACAGCTCCTAAACGTGCGTTTATCAGCTGCAGTGTACATGAGCCCTTAGAAATAGTTCATGTTGATTGAGAGAATGAAGTTCTGCTTTGATCTTCTGTGTCTCCATACTATTTGCCCGGCGGTATGGAAAAACATTAGCAATGATTACCTTTCTTAACTTTGGAGGGCAGAGGAGAGATATGGGGCCTATAAGACCTCAGATCTCTCCATAAAGAGGACCTGTCATAGGGATGTTGTTCATCCCTTGTGATTAGCAGTAAAATTGATAAAACACAAATATAGGGACAGTGTTAAAAAAAAGTTTTAAATAAGATACATGTTTAGACTTTTTTTTTTCATGCAAATTTACAATGCTCCTGTCCTCCTGTGCGTACGCGCAAATGCGAACGCATATGTAATTCCTGCACACATAAGTAAATGGCGATCGCGCCCAAACGATGTGAACCGGGGGTAAGACAAGAGACTATTGTCTTATATATTGTAAAACCGTGATATCAAGGACAAAAAGAATGTTAAGTACCTGTAATAAATAGTTTATTTGTCAGAGTGTAAGGCTAGTTTTTCGAGGTGGAAGGTACGGTTATATCTCCTAGATTGTAAGCTCTAATGAGCCGGGCCCCCTGATTCCTCTTGTACCAAATTGTATTGTAACTGTAATGTCTGCCTTCATTTTGCAAAGCGCTGAGCAAACTGTTGGTACAATATAAATCCTGTATAATAATAATAATAATAATAGGGAAAATGTAGGCATAGCTAGCAGTTAACTGTGTAAGGTTCCATAACATAAACCAAAAACTAGCACTCGAATGTTCTTGCTGCACTGACAACACGGAATCTAGCACTCGCTGAGGTTCCGCCCTTGATATACCGGGGAATCTTGTATACATCTCGTCTTGACTATTGCAACTCCCTCCTCATTGGCCTACCGAATCGCAGGCTATCTCCTCTTCAGTCTATCATGAATGCTGCTGCCAGACTCATCCACCTTACTAACCGTTCTGTATCTGCCACCCCTCTCTGCCAATCCCTCCACCCCCACTCTCCACCCTCTCTGCCAATCCCTCCACTGGCCTCCACTTAGTGTCCTCCACCCTCTCTGCCAATCCCTCCACTGGCCTCTACTCAGTGTCCTCCATCACTCTCTGCCAATCCCTCCACTCAGTGTCCTCCACCCCTCTCTGCCAATCCCTCCACTGGCTTCCCATTGCCCAACGGATAAAATTCAAAACATTAACAATAATGTATAAAGCCATTTATAACTCTGCCCCAAATTACATCAACGATCTTGTCTCTAAATATCGCCCAAACTGTACTCTCCGCTCCTCGCAGGACCTCCTACTCTCTAGCTCCCTTGTCTCCTCCTCCCATGCTCGTCTCCAGGACTTTTCCAGAGCTTCCCCCATCCTCTGGAACTCTCAACCCCAATTTATCAGACTATCGCCCATTCTGCTCACTTTTAGGCGATCTCTGAAAACCTCTCTCTTCAGGGAAGCCTATCCTGCCCTCAGCTAATAATCTTCTACTCTTCCTACCAGTCCACCCCCCACAGTTACTTCCTTTTGTACCACTAGCCCCTCCCTCTTAGATTGTAAGCTCCCAGGATCAGGCCCTCCTTTCCCTCTTGTGCTGAACTGTATTGTCTCCCGTTATATTGTAAAGCGCTGAGCAAACCGTTGGCGCTATAAAAATCCTGTATAATAATAATAATCTTGTAACTGCCAAAAAAGAGCAAAACTGCTTGCACTCTCCTCGTGCATTACCGTGATAATAAGAAATTTATTATAAAATGACAAAAAGGTCATAAAAACAGAGACAAGTCAAAGATGCCAGTCATGGACAGCGGAGGTGCTCGGGTAAAAGTGCTAACACATTTCGGGACTCAAACTCCCTTCCTCAGATCAAAAGATCTGGCATCTTTGACCTCTTGTCTCTGTATTTATGACATTTTTGTTTTGTGAGTATGCATTTGTAATTTGATAATACATTTCTTATCACAGTAATGCACGTGGAGAGTACGCCCTTTTTTGCTCTTTTTTTGTTAGGTAGATTTCGATATTAGAATATTTAACCAATGGGTCCACAGTTTGTCAAATTTGTGAATAGTGCCTATGTGGGAGTATATCAACCTTTTCACGTTAACCCCCCGGTTCACATCTATGCAGACATGCGGGCCACGTTTTGCTCGGGCACGAGAGCCCATTCATTTGAATGGACTCCCGTGCCCCGTGACACGCAGGGAAGTCCCTGCACTTCTTTGGAAAACACAGCCGAGGTTCCCAGTACGGTTGCGTTTTTCCAGTGCGGGCGGCGTGCCATTAGAACTAATGGCACCCGCCCGCAGGTCCGCATTTCTCTGTGCGGGTGGTGCGGCTGCATGGATTTTCGTGCGGCACCACCCGCACAGATGTGAACCTAGGGTAGAGTATGATTCCTGTAAGTTAATACATTCAGATAATGGCAGAGAATGTGGGGACTTCTAATGGATAGGGAAAAAAACGTTCAAGCCTGAAGAAGCGCTCTCAAATTTTTTACGGTAATATTGGCGTATGTGAATATAGTATTCAGCACCCAAAGGATACGGATGGTTATATCCTTGGAGATAGTAAAGTGTAAGATGCTATTAATGGAAGACATATTAGAATTCTGGGTAGTGGTCATTGCACCAAATAGGTGAATGGTTAGGAAATGCTTTACATTTAGGGAGGTTTTTCATTTGTGCCAAAACTTTGTGGACAAATGAGCCTTCAAGTGCTTCGTATAGATCTAAGGATTCCACCATATGTCTCGGCAAAATGTAGGAAGAGTCTGGTCTTCCTGGGGATCAGTATTAGTCTCCATATCCTTCCTAGCAATATGCTTTTAATTGAGCTGCAATTAAATATATTCAAGGATTCGGTAATACTGGGCAGCACAGTAGCTAAATGGTTAGCACTTCCGCCTGGAAGTACTTGGGTCGTTGGTTCGAATCCCAACCACGGCATCACCTGCCTGGAGTTTGCATGTTCTCCCTGTGCCTGCGTGGGTTTCCTCCCACACTCCAAAGACATGCTGGTAGGTGAATTGGCTCCTGTCTAAATTGTCCCTAGTATGTGTATGTATGAATGTGAGTTAGGGACCTTAGATTGTACACCTCTTGAGGGTTAGGGACTGATGTGAATGTACAATATATATGTAAAGTGCTGCGTAAATTGATGGCGCTATACAAGTACCTGAAATAAATAATAATACAGTACCCCCCCCCCCCCAATAGTTGTAGGTCTTGGCCTTGTGTTTTTGTCACATCTAACATTGTATCCAATATGATTTGTCTTTTATTGTATAGAGCTACAACATACTACCTCGCCGATCGTCGCTATGACATGCTGCCTGCTATCCTGAGTGCAGATCTATGCTCCTTGCTTGGAGGTGTCGACAGGTAATGTGAAATTCTTTTACAATGGAATTTATTATAGACAACACAACATCAAAGAAACAATCAAAAGCAAGATCACTGACACAAAGGAACAAGGTATACAATTCTTCTGATGAAGGACATAACAAATGCACTGATGTCAGGTAATGTGAAATTCATCAAAGTAATAGCATTGTTATTGTTTCGCAATGTGACCGCACACGGAGTTCTCTGGATTAAAGTCCCTGACCTGCTGAACTCCTTGACTATATAGAGGCCAAAGTGACCAGTTGTCACAGACAGAGTGAAAATCCACTCCACAGCAAGAGATGAGTAAATCATCTAATGGGGACACTGCGTACAGGCAAACAATTTTGTAGACTAGGGAGCAGTCCGGCCATTCTCTCAAGGTGTTTTTTTTTTTCTTTTTTTTTTTTCCGTATTAAATTTTTATTGAAAAAATAAGTTATTACAACCAAATAAGATACAGAACAATAATGCTAAAAAAAAACATTCCAAAACAAAAGAGAGCAAAGCTATATTATTATTATTATAATACAGGATTTATATATTATTATTATAATACAGGATTTATATAGCGCCAACAGTTTGCTCAGCGCTTTACATTATAGTGGGAGACAATACGGCAACAATACAGTTCGATGAAAGAGGGATTTGAGGGCCCTGCTCCTTGGAGCTTACAATCTAGGAGGGTGGGGTGAATGGTAAAGTAGGTGGTCACTGTAGGTACACACACACACCTATAAAAAGTTGCAGTACTTCGTTGTTCACTCACAGAGCCGGGTACTGCAGTCTAGGGGGAGGCAGAGAGAGAGCACAGCACACACTCCTTCCTTTGCTTTCACTGCGCTCAGCTATTGAGTAGTCTGACGGCTCCCAGTGCCAATGACAGATCCGGCCTGAGCTCCGAGCCTGCTCAGCAAAACGGCCCTGGGGGACACACTCGCCCCCACCATAATTTCCACTCGCCATTGGCGAGCAGGCCAGTGGAAATTTCAAGGCCTGGATTAGATAGTACTTTCTGTCATTTATGATACACAGCCAATATGATGCTATGTTGGTCATCTGGACAGTATACCTAGCAATGGTTGCACCAATTTTGCATTTGTTTGGACAACTGTGATCACTGGCATGAGCACTCGGCCTTATTTACATCATAGAATGTACTGCAGCCATTGTTAAACACAGAAGTACCTATGGATGGCAGTAGCACCCTCTACTGTCGTAAACTAGTAAATATCTCTCTAAATGTTCATTTTTTTTTAATTCATTGTAAACTCAACATGCCTTTTCTGCAGCGCAATTCCATTTCTAAGGGCCTGGTCACACTTCTGCGAAGATCTGTGTCTTTTTGCACTAGAAAAATGATTACCTCCACAGGGTCGGATCTCCACCCTCCATAGAATGTTGCCTCTTCTCCACCCCTCCTCCCCTCCACTGTGCAAATTGTGTTTTTTCTTTTTGTTTTTTTTTTTTTTAACGAAAACTCTCTGGCCAGTAGACCCCCCCCCCCCAATGCACATCACTCACTGAATAATGTGCATTTTGCTTGCTGTGCCTCCAGGGATACATACTTTATATGGGCAGAACAGTGGCTAAATGGGTAGCACTTCCACCTGGCAGTACTCGGGTCGCTGGTTCGAATCCCAGCCACGGCACCACCTGCCTGGAGTTTGCATGTTCTCTCTGTGCCTGTGTGGGTTCCTTTGGGTACTCTGGTTTCCTCCCACACTCCAAAAACATGCTGGTAGGTTAATTGGCTCCTGTCTAAATGGGCACTAGAATGTGAGTTAGGGACCTTAGATTGTACGCTCCTCAGGGACGGGGACTGATGTGAATGTACAATATATATGTAAAGCGTGGCGTAAATTGACAGCTATATATAAGTACCTGAAATAAATAAAAAAAAGGCCCAGGAGGCATAGTCCTTGAATAAAAAAGAAGGGGGGGGCTGGGTCAGGCAACATGTCATTGGGAAGCCACCAGCTGAACCCTGAAGAGCCAGCAGCTTCCCAGTGATGTCGCCAAAGACGGTGGCGGTGTGGAACTGAGGAAGAGGGGGCAGAGGAGAAGCAGATCTCAGCAGGACAACACTGGATCCGCTTCAGAAAATAATGAAAAGGTGAACAAACACCATACACCCACCCCACCCACCCAGTCCCCGCTGTACTTGCTCCCCACCGTACTTGCTCCCCACCCACCCACCGAGTCCCCGCTGTACTTGCTCCCCCACCACCCACCGAGTCCCCGCTGTACTTGCTCCCCACCCACCGAGTCCCCGCTGTACTTGCTCCCCACCCACCGAGTCCCCGCTGTACTTACTCCCCACCCACCCAGTCCCCGCTGTACTTACTCCCCACCCACCCAGTCTCCGCTGTGTACTTACTCCCCACCCACCCAGTCCCCGCTGTACTTACTCCCCACCCACCGAGTCCCCGCTGTACTTACTCCCCACCCAGTCCCCGCTGTACTTACTCCCCACCCCAGTCCCCGCTGTACTTACTCCCCACCCACCCAGTCCCCGCTGTACTTACTCCCCCATCCACCGAGTCCCCGCTGTACTTGCTCCCATGGGTGATGAGCTGTCAGTACCCATGCAGCCCAGTGCAGCAGTCCGGATGTTTGAAATCCCAGCTGTTTTTCCTTCTCTGTGCAGCGTTACCAGGATGGGTTAGAGCAATCATCTGTGCTAGCGCTGACCAATCAGAATAGCTCTGATCCATCCCAGAAGCACTGCACGGAGAAGAGTGGGGATTTCAAGTCCCTGGGCCACTGCATCAGCTGCGTGGGCACTGACAGTACATTAAACACAAAGGTAAGTGCAGTGGAGACCAGGGGGTTGGGGAGGGCATATGATATTAGTTCATCTCTATATTTTTCTGAGAAAATTAATTAACCCAGTTGACAGTTACTGGGCATCAAAAACGCAACTCAGTTTTTCATGGTTGAACTGCATTATTACCACCCAACAATCATTGTTTTCCCATAACCGTCTTCTGTCTTCTGATGTCATTTATTTTTGTTTGTACTGTATTGTTAGTGCATAGAAAGCTGTTTGTTTTTTTTTTTGTTTTTGTTTTTTTTTTAAAGCTTCCTATTTTTTGTGCCCAGGTATGCGGTGAGTGTGATGTGGGAGCTGGACAGCACGACGTATGACATCAGGAGGGTGTGGTATGGCCGGACCATAATCCGCTCCTCCTATAAGTTGAGCTATGAAGTGGCTCAGCAGCTGCTGGATGGAGATCTGGAGCCACTTAATACTGACCCTGAACTTCAGCCGGTTTCTCAGGACTCCACAAAACTGGACCGTCTTCTGTGGGCGATACGGAAATTGACAGAGGTGGCTCAAGCTGTCCGGACTCGGAGAGATATGAGTGGAGCGCTGGAACTGGAAGGGGTCGAGGTTCGGATCCAGTTGGGGGAGGAGCATAGCATCGATGATCTAGTCCCTAAGCAACCTTTACAGGTCCATGAGACTATAGCAGAATGTATGATCTTAGCCAATCACTGGGTAGCCAAGAAGATCTGGGAGAGCTTCCCCCAGCAGGCATTACTCCGACTTCATCCACCTCCACGTCAGGAATTCTTTAGAGAACTCAAAGAGTGCGCACAGGCTAAAGGATTTCATATAGACACCCGGTAAGTAGCATTTACTGCCTACATAATTTAAACTGATTTTTTTTTTTTTTTCTCAGCAGCCTGGATTTTACATTCCTGCTTTTTTTTTTTTGCACGCGTTTAACCTCCCTAGCAGTCTGATTATGTCCATATTTCTGTGCTCAAAGCGGTACATTTCTTGCATGGAAATATGTTGTTTCTTTATTGTAGGTCTGTAATTCTTAGGAATAACTCCCTGAAATCTGTCTGAACAAGAGTCTAGTAAACCATCCCGGGGATGATAAAACTTGAAACACAAAATCATAAATTATAATTTAATAAATAATCATAAAAAAATAATCATATAATAATAAATTTAATTCAATAATATAATCAAACCAAAAACACTGAAATGTGAAATAGAGCGCCAAGTTCGCACATCGCTGAGCTCAGTCGCAGAATCGTTTTCAGTGTCTGATGATGAATTTCCCCCACCAATCATTATCACTCAATTCTGCAAGTGGTTCTGATTTACTATCGCTGTTCTCTAGCCGGTCTAAAACCGCGTCTGACCTAAAGGGACGCTTTTTGGACGCCATGGACGTTTCTCAGTTTCCAGGTAGAAAGAACAGTAAAAATGCAGGCAGGGCGCCGGACAAAGCACTCGGGACAAAATGTATGTGAAATGGTTTGATACAGGAATGTTATACTATGTGATTTTAGTGTATTGAGTGAATGTCACATTTTTGAATTTCCCGCCGTTCCGTCCCCCGTACGTCCCGACACTCGCAGGGAATGGAACCCGGAAGACAGATGCCGGCATCAGCCGGAGGACATGGTCGGGGACACTGCAGGGGGGACATCGCGGGAGCGCAGGACAAGGTAAGTGCAGAGGAGATCCCGGAGCAACGCTGCAATGTATTCCCAAGTGCGGCTCGGGGTTACCGCTTCTGGTACTGAAATTTAACCCCGAGCTACACTCGGGAATACCGCCAGGGGGGTTAAAAAATCATTTTGGGCCTGAAGATTACACAAAATCCCCAAAACATTATATATTTACTGAAAGCAGACATCCTACAGCAGGGTCTCTCAACCAGGGTTCCTGCAGAGGCTGCTAGGGGTTCCTTGAGCAATATCCGCCTCTCAGATAAGTTCCCGCTGACACCATTGATATTTTTTAGCTATCTATAAGGGGTTAATTCTTCTCAATGGCCACAAGTTTAAGGAACGTTCTCCCCACTGATCATCACACGAATGTATCATGAGCTGCAGATACAAACATTTTTAGAAGGGGTTCCTCGAGACCAAAATGTAATTTTAAGGGTTCCTCTGTGTTGAAAGGGTTGAGAAAGGCTGCCCTGGAGAATAAAATATGGTAGTTCTGATTTTTTTTTCTTTTTTTGTTTTTTTTTTTTATATCACTCGATATAGAAAACACAACATTTCAGTAAAAAACACACTAAAGTGAATTTTAGGGCAAACTCAATAAATTACCCACATTTTTGGTAAAATATAAAAGACGAAGGTACGCTGAGTAAATAGATAACATGCCAAACCTTAAATTTGTGTGCACCTATGAAATGGCAACAAACTTCAGTACCCTATATTTTCCATAGGTGACATTTTAAAAGCCCCCGCCCTCCCGTGCTTGCACACGTAGTGGTGAACACATGTAGGCCACGCCTACATATGTAAACGTGTTCAAACCACACACGTGAGGTAACGCCACAAACGTCAGAGCAAGAGCAATAATTCTCGCACTAGACCTCCTTTGTAACTTTACACGGCTAACCTGTAGAACTTTTTAAAGCATCACCCATGGAGATTTTTAAGGACCCCCCACGCAGTTTCGCGCCATTCCATGAGTGTTCGCAATTTTAAAGCGTGACATGTTGGGTATCTATTTACTCGCCGTAACATCCTCTTTCATATTTTACAAAAAATTAGGGTATATATTGTTTTTTTTTGTTTGTTTTTTTTTTTAATCAAAATGTATTTTTTCCAAAAAACATATATTCATTTTTAAAAACTGCGCGTTTCGGTTTTCGGCCAAGTGCATTTTGAATTTTCGGTTTCGGCACCAGAATTTTCATTTCGGTGCACCGCTATTTTCAGGATTAAAAAATCCTCCCCCTTCTTCAGTGCTTGAGTAGTTGATGTTAATAAAATTACAACAGAATGCATCGGGGTACCTGTGTTTTAAAGTGGTTCTAAATTCTACTTGTCCTCCATGTTACTTGCCTCTTCCATGTACACGGAACACTTCTGAACAATGGAAACTGACTGCTGGAAAATGTAGGTTAAAAACTTCTGTTTAGCCGCGTTTGCATACCGCGTTTACGTTTAGAAGCGTTTTTTAAAGATAACCTCAGGAGACCTTCCAAAATGCCCAGAATGCACTGAAAAAAACAGTAAAAAATTTACTATTTCAGACATTTTGAGAGAAATAGAGCTGAGATTAGCTGTCTTTTTTTTTTTTTTTTTTTGTGGTGTTTGGATGTGTTCCGGCTCATTTCTGTGCAGAAATTATTGCAGCAGTGTCTAACATATTTTCTTTCATGCGAAACCTCAAAGTATGGTGTACCGGGAATACCGGGAAAACACTTTACATGCATTTTTCATTATGACAAAAGTCTGTGAACAGCATCTGGAAATGGAAGAGTTAAAAAAAAATTTCAAACGCTTATAAAAGAGATTTTGCCGCGTTTGCAAGCGTTTGGCATTTGAAACGCTGTTAAAAATCTACTCCTGAACGCAAGTTTGGTGCGTTCAAAAAAACGACTGTAAACTCAACTGCCTGTAAAGGACGATGTGTACACGGACACAGAGGAGAACATTAGGGGGAGTTCAGGGGCTGCTGAAAAAAAACGTAGAAAAGCTCCTAAACGTGAGATTATCAGCTGCAGTGTACATGGAGCCTTACGATCCAGCACTGTCCCAGCTGCAGCACTGCTCTCTCCTATTCCTGGTCTCACAAGAGAAACCTGCAGCTGCGGGATCAATAGGCTCCTGCTGCTGTCAGTCGAGAGGAGGCGGAGCTTACAGCACTGTGTTTCTCCTAAAAGCAGCCTTTAGTGTTGTCCTCAATACAAGAATTTGCATTAAAAAGGAACTGAGCTCTGAAAGCTGCGCCCAATAAGAAAAAGGCAGGCAGAGGGAATTGCACTAGTCACCAGTATTGCCTGCGATCAACCTGCAACCGATCTTTTCCCCCTTACCAAATGACCATAACATGTTCCACACTGTGTCATTGTGTGGAGGCGGCTCTCTTGGTAGAGGCAGAGTTTTGATTCGTTATGTCAGAACCCCCACAATGGAGAATAGTGAGCAGCATAGTAGTGACAACTCCGGAACTCACTCTATATCTCCTGAGGCCATTCGTCAGAGGCAGCAGAGCCTTAGATCTCACACTGCAGATATACAGGTATGAGGCTGTCACAATCGGGCACAGGAGTGCCTAGGCAGATTTGCTGGTGGGAGCTCTCCATAGTGCTGAAACTGTGTTTCCACAGCGCATGTCCAGGGGCGGACTGACAACTCATGGGGCCCCCCGGGCAATAGGGGATCAGGGGGCCCCTGTGTCAACACCCACACCCAAAAAAAGCCTATGAAAGGTACTAGGGGCATCTCATGGGGCCCCCTACTGACCCTGGGCCCCCAGGCAGTGCCGAATGGTCAGTCTGCCTCTGCATGTCTAATTGTTGTCCACTCATTTTGCTTTGTAAATAGGGAAAATGTTTGCCCAAAGAATATTGGTTGATTGGTTGAATATTGGGTACTGATCCCCAAGTACCGCCCTACCCCGTACCCTTCGCTCCTCACAGGACCTCCTTCTATCCTGCTCCCTGGTCTCCTCCTCCCATGTACGACTGCAGGACTTCTCCAGGTCCTCCCCCATCCTCTGGAACTCACTGCCCCAATCCATCAGACTGTCGCCTTCCCTCTTCACATTCAGGCGCTCCCTCAAAACCCATCTCTTCAGGGAAGCCTACCCCACCCTCACCTAACGGCCATTCTCCCTCTTTCCTCCCACCCCTCATTCCCCTCAGCCACTTCCTCCTGTACCTTTACCCCCTCCCTCCTAGATTGTAAGCTCGAAAGAGTGGGGCCCTCTTACCCCTCGTACGTTGTTTGTTGTTATTGTACTGTGCCATGTATTGTCCCCCCTATTGTACAGCGCTGAGCAAACCCTTTGGCGCTATATAAACTCGTAGTAATAATAATAATATTGGTTGAATGTCAAGGAAATCATTAATTTACAGATGTTAGATGCAGTGTTTGCCATTGATTTAATGCGGAACGGTTAACACCAACGCCTCCCGGCCCTTTAAGGGGTTTCTGATTCTTTTTCATGATCATGTGACCGCTATGGTTGGCTGTCACAGCGGTCATGTGATCAGAAAGCCCCTCGATTGCTACTTGCGTGAGATACTGGTAACTGTGCCACAAGTTTCTCTACATTTTGGTACGCATATATGCGGCCTCTTGGAGTCGAGGCCCACCCGCCAGGAGGCCGCATGTATGCGTACTGTTGGTCCGAAGGAGTTAAGTGATCCCCTTCATTGCATGCTTGCGTTGCGTTACGAAGGATGCAAGTTTTTAGGATAGCTCAGATCCCAAGGCTCATCGGGCTTTAATCATTTCTGAAAGTTACATATTACATTGTTCGTTTCAGATCCATTTTTCAGAAATGTATAAAGCCTGATGAAGGGATCTGAGTTATCCCAAAAACTTGCATCCTCAAAGTGGAACTTCATGTAAAAGGGAAAGTTCTGCTGTTCCTCCTCCCTCCCCCCCCATCCTCTGTTATATTTGGCACTTATTTTTTGGGAAGGGGGAGGGGGCGGATGAGCGGGTACCTGGTTTTGACAGATACCAACTCCTGCTTCTGCTCCCTCCCCTACTACCCCCAACACCCCGCCCACAGCTTTCTGGGACACATCACAGGTCCAGAAGGCCGCGGGACCAATCAGAAAGCGCAGCGCAACTTGCACATTCACAAGCAGTCACAGCCAGCTGCCCACAGTTAAAGCAGAGCTCCACCCAAAAGGGGGGGTTCCCCTTTAAGGACTGCTCCCCCGCTCTCCATTAAGAATTGGCATCTTTGGGGGGCGGGGGGGGAGAAAGGTACCTTAATTTGACAGGTACCCGCTCCCACTTCCAGAAGCAGAAGATGTCCTCCCTCTCTCCCTCCCTGTAGTCTTTTGGGACACATGACAGGTCCCAGAAGACTACAGGGCCATTCATGAAGTGCAGCGCTACTCGCGCATGCGCAGTGGGCACCCGGCTGTGAAGCCGCAAGCAGTCACAGCCGGGTGCCTACACGGAAGATGCCGGCCTCCTGGAATACAGGACGGCCAGTGAAATGGGCTGCAGGGGGACACATCGCGGGACCGAGGGACAGGTAAGCGGCTGTTGTTTTTTAAAAGTCAGCAGTTAGTTTTTGTAGCTGCTGACTTTTATTTTTTGACAGTGTGAGCGGAACTCCACTTTAAGATACTGGCACTGGAGACCAGTGAAGGAAACGGCTCGAGTGAGGACAGTGCTGGATCCTGGGACAGGTGAGTATTAATTAAAGTTGTAACTGCTGACTTATATTTTTTGACAGGGTGAGCGGAACTCCACTTTAAGATACTGGCACCGGAGACCAGTGAAGGAGTCGGCTCGGGTGAGGACAGTGCTGGATCCTGGGACAGGTGAGTATTAATTAAAGTTGTAGCAGCTGACTTTTAATTTTTACACAGGAGACTGGAGAACTCCTTTAACCCTTTTGCCGCCAGGTCCGTATGTCGTAGGTACCTGACAGGGGGGATGTTATACACAATTCGGTGGCTGCAGGCTCCGTGGTTGTATATAAAATGGACAGGCAGAATCCTGCCTCTTAGGTGGAAGCAGTTGGCTTTTGAAGCGTCGCCTATAGAAATTGTAGGGTCCTGAAGTGCGTCACCATTTCATAGGCGCACACAAACTCGGGGTGAGCAGTGCTAACCTCATCAACCATTGATTTATACTGAGTACAGACCTGCCGGCCACCATTGACAGCAGCTTCTGATCACACCGTGTAAGCGGGCAGCGTAGGCAACTGCCAACATGAATCTGTTTAGGTCGGTGAATCTTGTCAGTGGCCCCTGGTTGCTGCTACTCAGCCATGTGGATGTAGCCCTAATGGTATCACTTTCTGCAAATGGATGTTGAAAATGACTACTTTGCTACTCGCAAGATCAGTGTACATCTCCTCCGCTCCGTTCAAAAGAAAACAAAAATCATCAGATGTGGAGAACTTATGGTGGGGTAAGGGGATTGCCTTAGCTCAGCAACTTAGCACTTCTGATGGCTCACATTGCTATAGCTACAGTGATATACAGTTGTGTTTAAAAGTTTGCATACCCTGGCAGAAATTGTGACATTTTGGCATTGATATTGAAAATGTGACTGATCATGCCAAAAAATGCTCTTACTGCACCAATGCCACAAAAAAGCCCGGTTACAATATGCCTGACAACACCTTGACATGCCTAACCGCGCCTTTGTGTGTCATTGATGCAGTAAAGGCTTCTTTCTGGCACCTCCACCATGCAGCTCATTTTTGTTCAAGCGTCATCATATTGTGCTCCTTCAAAACAACCACACTGTCTTTTTCCAGAGCAGCCTGGATTTTTCTTGTGGTTACCTATGGGTTTCCCTTTGTATCCCGAAAAATTCTTCTGGCAGTTATGGCTGCAATCTTTCTTGGTCTACCTGACCTTGGCTTGGTATCAAGAGATCTCCGAACTTTCCACTTCTTAATAGGTGATTTAACAGTACTGATCGGCATATTCAAGGCTTTGGACATCTTTTTATGTCCTTTTCCATCTTTATAAAGCTCCATTTCCTTGTTACGCAGGACTTTTGACAGTTCTATTCTGCTCCCCATGGCTCAGTATCTAGCCTAGTCAGTGCTTCCACGTCGGAGCTAACAAACTCATTGACTATTTATACACTGACACTAATTGCAATTTAAAAAGCCACAGATGTGGGAAATGAACCTTTAATTGCCATTTTAACCCGTGTGTGTCACCTTGTGTGTCTGTACCAAGGCCAAACATTCCAGGGGGCGGAGACTTCTGATCCAGGGGGCGGAGACTTCTGATCCGGGCCATTTGGATGATTTCTGTTATTATGATTTAAAAAGGAGCCAAACAACGATGTGATAATAAATGGCTTCATATGATCATCATCCTTCAATAAAAGAGCATTTTTGGCATGATCAGTCATATTTTCACTATCAATGCCAAAATTTCACAATTTCTGCCGGGGGAGGAAAACTTCTGAGCACAACTGAATGTAGGGCTAACAACCCCGTGTTCACTTAGTTCAGAGCTTGGCAGATGTGTGCCTAAATATGTTTGACTTTGCTTTTCTTCTCTCAGGTCTAATAAATCTCTGGCAGATTCCCTGGACAAGGCAAATGACCTTTCTGACCCTCTGGTGAATCGGCTGCTGCGATCAATGGCCACACAAGCCATGTCCAACGCTCAGTATTTCTCGACAGGATCGTACTCCGAGGATGAGTTCTATCACTATGGTGAGCACCGCAATGATATTACACGTGCTTTTCTTTTCTTGTCAGCTGTTGTTATTAACCACTTCCAGTCCGGACACTTTCCCCCCCTTCCAGTCCGGACACTTTCCCCCCCTTCCAGTCCGGACACTTTCACCCCCTTCCAGTCCGGACACTTTCCCCCCCTTCCAGTCCGGACACTTTCACCCCCTTCCAGTCCGGACACTTTCCCCCCCCTTCCATTCCAGTCCGGACACTTTCACCCCCTTCCAGTCCGGACACTTTCACCCCCTTCCAGTCCGGACACTTTCACCCCCCCTTTCCAGTCCGGACACTTTCACCCCCTTCCAGTCCGGACACTTTCCCCCCCTTCCAGTCCGGACACTTTCCCCCCCTTCCAGTCCGGACACTTTCCCCCCCTTCCAGTCCGGACACTTTCCCCCCCTTCCAGTCCGGACACTTTCCCCCCCCTTCCATTCCAGTCCGGACACTTCCCCCCCCTTCCAGTCCGGACACTTCCCCCCCCCAGTTCCAGTCCGGACACTTCCCCCCCCCCCTTCCAGTCCGGACACATCCCCCCCTTCCAGTCCGGACACTTTCACCCCCTTCCAGTCCGGACACTTTCACCCCCCCCCCCCCCCTTCCAGTCCCCACCCCCCCCCCTTCCAGTCCGGACACTTTCCCCCCCCCCCCCTTCCAGTCCGGACACTTTCACCCCCCCCCCCCCTTCCAGTCCGGACACTTTCACCCCCCCCTTCCAGTCCGGACACTTTCACCCCCCCCTTCCAGTCCGGACACTTTCACCCCCCCCCCCCCCCTTCCAGTCCGGACACTTTCACCCCCTTCCAGTCCGGACACTTTCACCCCCTTCCAGTCCTGATACTTTCCCCCCTTTCCAGTCTGGACACTTTCACCCCCTTCCAGTCCGGACACTTTCCCCCCCTTCCAGTTCGGACACTTTCCCCCCCTTCCAGTCCTGACACTTTCCCCCCCCTTCCAGTCCTGACACTTTCCCCCCCTTCCAGTCTGGACACTTTCACCCCCTTCCTGTCCAGGCCAATTTTCAGCTTTCAGTGCTATCACACTTTGAATGACAATTGCGCGGTCATGCAACACTGTGCCCGTATAAATTTTTTAGCATTTTTTTGAGACCGATAAAACTTTCTTTTGGTGGTATTTATTCACCACTGGGATTTTTATTTTTTTTTTGCTATATAAATGAAAAAGTCCAAAAATTTTGAAAAAAAGTGTTTTTCTTATAACATTTTGCAAATTAAATAATCTTTCTTCATAAATCTTGGCCAAAAATGTATTCTGTTATCTTTTTAGTAAACAAAAATAGCCCAAATTAGTTTATAACCAAACATAATTTAAAAAAAAAAATGTTCACATTTTTATTTTTTTTTATATTATTATTTATTATTTAGTTGTTTTTTTTTTTAACATACTGTCACCCTAGCACTGGTGACACTGTACTACTTGTGGGGGGTGATGAAGATTTTTTTTTTTTTTTTTTTTACACCCATAAAGGATGTAAAAGCAATCATTTCTCCTTCTCTCTGGATTGAGAAATACTGTGAGAGTTGTGATTGGTCACAGCTTGTCACATGGTACAAGGCTGTTGTGAATAGCCCTGTACCATGTGACCTCGGTGATCATTCACAGATTTCACACATAGTAAGCAATGATGTCAGGGAGAGCGCACAGCTTGAAAATGCGGGCAATGTTTATGAACGGCAACCCGCCCCTGTACTGCCACCGTCCGGCTGTTTATATACAGCGGCTGGACGGCAAGTGGTTAAGTACAGTAAACCCCAAAAACTTTCATCTTGTCCTGTAAGAAGAAAAATGTGGTGGTTGTTTTTTGTTTGTTTTTTGTTTTTTTTAATTTATGCTTTCAACTAATCTCATTCCTGGAGTTCTTCTTTAAACTCTGCTAATTCTGCAGCGGCGTGCTGTTTACAGAAGCCTCTGTATGACCCCCTAGAGTGGGATCGACTTGCCGTTTTTGAATGTACCGGGTGATGCACCGGGAATCATATACTGAGCCACTGAACTGGCTATAGACTCAGCCACAGCGATCGCTCTGGGATAAGGCTGTTAATGGAGAGAGAAGGTAATAAATGATAATCTGCGTGCGTAAAATTTTAAGTTAAGTCATTTGCAAGTGCCAAGTCCAACAGACTAATTGGAACCACAAAATATATTCTGATACGCACTGAAAACCTAGTTATTTTAATATTCGTGGTGCCTAATATAATGAAAGTGGAGGAGTTGTCCTAAAAGTAGTTTTTCCTTAAAATAGTCATTCCTTATCCCTCGGGTACCCGTCACATGACTACTGCTCAGGCAATGGCCACACGTTCCTTGTCAGATGATCTCTGGGAATGCATTGAGGCAGAGCTAGCCAATCAGGCTCTGCATGAACAGTCCTGACAGATTCTCTACATTAGCAGAGGAGTCTATCAGTGCCTCATTATTTGGTCTCCAGGGATCTCCAAACTCTTCAGTATGAGGGCCACATTATATATTTCTACAAATAATCACCGGCCAAGCACAATCTCAGTCGGGTCCCCCCTTACATCACTCTCACCAGCAAGGTCCCCCCTTACATCACTCTCACCATCAAGGTCCCCCCTTACAATATTGTCCCCATCAAGGTCCCCCCTTACATGATTGTCACCATCAGGGTCCCCCCTTACATAATTGTCACCATCAGGGTCCCCCCCTTGCACGATTGTTACCATCAGGGTCCCCCCTTACATCATTTTCACCATCAGGGTCCCCACATACATCATTGTCCCCATCAGGGTCCCCCCTTACATCATTGTCCCCCTCAGGTTCCCCCCTTACATCATTGTCCCCATCAGGGTCCCCCCTTACATCATTGTCCCCATCAGGGTCCCCCCTTATTGTCCCCGTCAGGGTCCCCCCTTATATCATTGTCCCCATCAGGGTCCCCCCTTACATCATTGTCCCCCTCAGGTTCCCCCCTTACATCATTGTCCCCATCAGGGTCCCCCCTTACATCATTGTCCCCCTCAGGTTCCCCCCTTACATCATTGTCCCCATCAGGGTCCCCCCTTACATCATTGTCCCCCTCAGGGTCCCCCCTTACATCATTGTCCCCCTCAGGTTCCCCCCTTACATCATTGTCCCCCTCAGGGGTACCCCCTTACATCATTGTCCCCATCAGGTTCCCCCCTTACATCATTGTCCCCCTCAGGATCCCCTCTTACATCATTGTCCCCATCAGGGTCCCCCCTTACATCATTGTCCCCATCAGGGTCCCCCTTATATCATTGTCCCCCTCAGGTTCCCCCCTTACATCATTGTCCCCATCAGGGTCCCCCCTTACATCATTGTCCCCAGCAGGGTCCCCCCTTACATCATTGTCCCCAGCAGGGTCCCCCCTTACATCATTGTCCCCAGCAGGGTCCCCCCTTACATCATTGTTCCCATCAGGGTCCCCCCTTACATCATTGTCCCCAGCAGGGTCCCCCCTTACATCATTGTTCCCATCAGGGTCCCCCCTTACATCATTGTCCCCCTCAGGGTCCCCCCTTATTGTCCCCGTCAGGGTCCCCCCTTATATCATTGTCCCCATCAGAGTCCCCCCTTACATCATTGTCCCCATCAGGGTCCCCCCTTACATCATTGTCCCCCTCAGGGTCCCCCTTTACATCATTGTCCCCCTCAGGTTCCCCCCTTACATCATTGTCCCCCTCAGGTTCCCCCCTTACATCTTTGTCCCCATCAGGGTCCCCCCTTACATCATTGTCCCCATCAGGGTCCCCCCTTACATTCTTTTGTAAGTATACTACACTTATTCAATAAATCTCATTTTTAGAAGGTAATGCACTAGGCCCGTGTTCCCTCTGTTTCTTTGCACACAGCTCCTTTTGGATTTCCCTGGTCCATTGAGGGCAGCAAGGCTTGCATTCCCAAAAAAGTACTTCATGTGGGGTTACTGACATTGTGGCGCTCATCGTCCAGCGCAGGAGTTTCAGCATTCATTTGCTCATGCTTTTTTAATAACTTGCCGCCCAGCCACTGCATGTAAACGGTGGCAGGGCGGCGCTCGTAGGCAAAAGCACGTTTTAAAACGGCTGCCTTCAAAACAGGTGAGCGGTGATCACTGACACAGAGCAGGGCTGCATTGTTTACACACAGCCCTGCTTTGTGACAGTTCGCCGACAAGCTGAAGAGGGAGAGAAGAGTTTCTCTCCCTCCATCAGCTCCCCCCTCCCTCCCCCGTCCAGTACACTCCCCCTAGTAAAACACTCCCCTTACACAGCAAATTCTAAAAATGTTAACTCCTTCCTCCCCAGTGACATTAGTACAGTTTCAGTGTTTTTTTTTCACTGATCACTGTATTGGTGTCACTGGGGATGTCAGTGACCCCAAGTCAGTCCCCCCCCCCCCCCCCCCCCCAGTGTCAAAATGTCCGCCGCAGTCCCGCCATAAGTCGCTGGTCGCCGTCATATGTCGCTGATTGCCGCCATAAGTCGCTGATCGGCGCCATTATTAGTATAAATAAAAATTAAAAAATCCCAGTATATTTCCCGCCATTTGTAAACGCTATAACTTTCACGTAAACCAATTAATTTACACGTATTGGGATTTTTTTTAGCAAAGACATGTTGCAGAATGCATTTTGGCAGAAATTTATGACTAAATTTTATTTTTGCATTTTTTTTTTTTTTACTGGACATGTTTTTATAGCAAAAAGTCCAAAATATTGTTTTTTTTTCCCTCAAAATTGTCAGCCTTTTTTTTTTATAGCGCAAAAAATAACCGCACAGGCGATCAAATACCACCGAAAGAAAGCTCAGTTTGTGGGGAAAAAAAGGATGTGTATTTCATTTATGTACCGTATTGCATGACCGCGCAATTGTCCGTTAAACTAGCGCAGCGCTGTATAGCAGAAAAATGGCGTAAATTGTAGTATCTATCCCATAGTTTGTAGACGCTATAACTTCCACACAAAGCAATCAATATACACTTATTGGGATTTTTTTTTTACCAAAAACATGGAGCAGAATACATTTTGGCCTAAATTTATAACCAACTTTGAGTTTACTATATATTGTTTATAGCTGAAAGTAAAAAATATTGTTTTTCTTCAAAATTTGTGGCCTTTTTTTGTTTATAGTGTGAAAAAAAAAAAGCGCACAGATGATCAAATACCACCGAAAGAAAGCTCTATTTGTGTGAAAAAAAGGACGTAAATTTCGTTTGGGTGCAGCATTGCATGACTGCGCAATTATCAGTTGAATTAGTGCAGCGCCGAGTAGCAAAAAGAGGCGTGGTCATTAAGGGGGGTAAATCCTCAGGAGGGCAAGTGGTTAAAGTGGAAAGCAGTCTTTCACTCTTAAAGCGGTAGTAAACCTCTGCTTGTCATAAAAAAACAAAACAAAAATCCCCTGCAAGGTAAAGGCAAAATGTACTAGTTTGCATCCCATGTTAGCACATTACTTGGCTTAGAACGAAGCCCTCCAGCAGCACGCTGTCACCACTGACAGGGCTTCCATCTTCCTCCTGTCTTCTTTCTGAGATGGCTGGCTCCGGTCCTCTGAATGGCCGAGCCGCGATGACGTCACTCCCGCCGCACATGGTCACGGGAGTCACTGTTTACAGCACACCGCTTTGTAGGGACAGCATGGTATGCAAATGCAACAGTGATGTCATCGGCTGCAGCAAGTGTGGATATCCCCTAAACGGTGCAAGTGTAGGAGATATTCTCTGTACCTACAGGCAAGCCTTACTATGGACTTACAGGCAACCTTACTATGGCAAGCCTTACTATGGACGTACCTACCTACAGGCAAGCCTTACTATGGACTTACCTACAGGCAAGCCTTACTATGGACATACCTACAGGCAAGCCTTACTATGGACGTACCTACAGGCAAGCCTTACTATGGACTTACCTACAGGCAAGCCTTACTATGGACATACCTACAGGCAAGCCTTACTATGGACCTACCTACAGGCAAGCCTTACTATGGACATACCTACAGGCAAGCCTTACTATGGACCTACCTACAGGCAAGCCTTACTATGGACCTACCTACAGGCAAGCCTTACTATGGACATACCTACAGGCAAGCCTTACTATGGACCTACCTACAGGCAAGCCTTACTATGGACATACCTACAGGCAAGCCTTACTATGGACCTACCTACAGGCAAGCCTTACTATGGACTTACCTGTAGGTACAACTTCAAAAGCGGCGTTTACGACCACTTTATTTTATTTAGAGAAGCGAACTCTTAAAGTAATTGAAAACCTACAATTTATTTTTTTTAAAGAACATATTATACCCACCTGCTCTGTGCAATTATTTTGCACAGAGCAGCCCTGATTCTCCTCTTCCGGGGTCCCGCACTGGCCCTCCTGGCTACTTTACCCTGCCAATTTCCCCCATAGCAAGCCGCTTACTATGGGGGCACTTGTGGGGGCTCTATCCTGACACACACAGCGCGGCTCGACCCTGTTTTCTCCTCACAGGCTGTGATTGACAGCAGCAGGAGTCAGTGGCTAACACTGCTGCCTCCATGTCCACTGCGGATAGAACAGAGAGAGCCACTGCTCTTGGGCATAGTGCTGGTTTGTGATTGGGCTCAGGTGAGTATTTATGGGGGCTGTGGGGGGGGTAGGGGTGCTCTATTCCTTAACCCCTTCACGCCTAAGGGTAAAACAAATCTTAACCATTTCAATACCGGGCAATTTTACCCCCTCCTGCCCAGGCCAGTTTTCACGTTTCAGTGCTCTCACACTTTGAATGACAGTTCCCAGCACATAGACAGGTACGCAAATATGCGGCCCCACGGAAGAAAGCCCAGTTCTGTGAAGCCGTATATTTGTGTAACGTTGGCACCAAGGGGTTAATGCACAGAATGCCTTAAGGTACGAAAAAAAAACATTCTAACTTTACAGTCGCTTTTATTGTGTTTTACTTTGTAACATTTTATGTATCTTGATTTTTGTATGGTTTAGGTTTGGCCCTTGACAAATACACCCACTTCACCTCACCAATCCGGCGCTATGCTGATGTTGTGGTACACCGGCTTCTCCTGGCTGCTATCCACAGGAGAACAAAAGATCTGCTTGGAAACAAGGACCTGGAGGAGCTGTGTCGTCACATCAATAATCGCAACCGGGTAAGCAGTTCACAGGATACATGGGGGTGGGAGGGGGGGCCTATCAGGGCGATGTCCACAGCAAGACGATCTCTGTATGTTCCCCCTTTGCAAGGCTTCCCGTGTTCTCCTTTGCCCTGTGATGCAATCGGGTGTAGAGAATCGGGAGCTCGCTTGCACTGAATGTCACATGGACTCACAGAAGCAGCATACAGCACACACTGCAAGCCTCCCACCTATGACCCGGTGCCCAACCTACAGACTGAGGATCACATGTTCCCCCCCAGGGGTATATCTACCACGAGGCCAAACAAGGCATTTGCCTAGGGTGGCAATTTTTAGGGGGGCAGCACCGCCCCCCAAAAGAAGGGACCTTTGAGCAGCGGCAGACAGCAGGAAGATCAATGTGGGGGAGAGCAGTTGCAGAGCGACGGTGGTGTACCTCTCCCTCCAGCAGCTAACAAGCCAGAACCAGGGGACAGCCTGGAGCCGGGAGAGAAGAGAAGTGGCAGAGAGGAAAGAGCCCAGAGGAGGTGAGCTGTGTTGTGTTCTGTGCGATCTCCCTCCTTTTATCCATCCAGTACACTGCACACTGACAGATCGTATGGGACTGCCCACACCTCCCACCCCCCCCCACCCCCGCTGCCCAGAAATCAGCAGCCCTTTGAGGGGGGGGGGGTGGTCCCATACGATCTGGGGGGGGGGGGGGGGGAGAGAGGGAAGAGAAAGAAAGGAAAGAGAGAGGGGGGGGGGGGGACAGAGGGAAAAGAGGGGGGAGAGAGAGATGGGGGGGAAGAGAGCGAGAGAGAGGGGAAAAGAGAGGGGAGAGGGAAGAGAAACAGAGGGAGAAAGAGAGAGAGACAAAAGAGAGAGGGGAGGGAAGAGAGAGAGAGGGGTAAGAGAAACAGAAAGAGGGAGAAAGAGAGAGAGATGAAAGAGAGAGGGGGAGGGAGAAAGAGAGGGAGGGGGAAGAGAGAGACAGAGGGAGAAAGGGAGAGAGAGAGAATCATATATACATACACACACTTATTGAATTCTCTCGCTCTCTCATTGGGGGGGGGCGCAAACTTTTTGTGTTGCCTAGGGCAGCACAAAATCTAAATACACTACTGGTTCCCATTACCGCAATCTGTAGCAGGAAACATTGATTGGGGTAATGGCACTGATATCTACTAGCCTCATGTAACATTTTCCCAGTTCCGTATTGTCTTGTGCAGCATACACCCAGCCAACAATGTATCCTCACTCTCTTACCCTCATTAGGTCTTCAGTCTGACAGTCCTCAAAAGCATTACATATATTGAACATTACGTGCAGCTTTGGTGATGTCAGGGGTTGCACGTGAGGTCCTCTTTAGCTCACAAGTTGACAACCACTGACCTATGGCCACACCCTAACGCATTTCACCCATGACGGGGCTCCATCTTCAAGACAGTCTGCAGTTGATGAGTGGCGGTGGGATAGGCCTTCGTGAAGAGATGAGTTTTCAGGGATAACCTAAAGGCGGACAGAGTAGGAGATAGCCGTAATGAGGGGTTCCAGAGGATGGGAGCCTCTGGAGAAGTCCTAGAGAAGAAGGAGACAAGGGAGCTAGAGAGCAGGAGGTCTTGGGAGGAGCGGAGAGGACGGTTTGGAAGATATTTTGAGATGAGATTGGTGATGTACAGTTGTGTTCAAAATAATAGCAGTCAGACATCACTAACCGGATCAATCACTGTTTTTGGTAGAAATGATATTTCTACATGGCAAATAATTTCCTATCAGGTGTAGTAGAGTAATAGAAATCCAACAGACCCAACAGTCATGACATGCATGCTGCTGATTCTGTGTCATTGAATCACTCATTGAAAGGGGCGTGTTCAAAATAATAGCAGTGTGGAGTTCTATTAGTGAGGTCATTCATTCTTTGAAAAACAGGTGGCAATTATTGCCCTTATTTAAGGAAGGAAGGCAGCAAATGTTGAACATGCTGGTTACAGTGCATTTCTCTCTGAAATTCTGAGAAAAATGGGTCGTTCCAGACATTGTTCCGAAGAACAGCGTACCTTGATTAAAAAGTTGATTGGAGAGGGGAAAACATATAAAGAAGTGCAGAAAATGATCGGCTGCTCAGCTAAAATGATCGCAAATGATTTAAAATGGCAACCAAAAACCTGAAAGACGTGGAAGAAAGCGAAAAACTACCATTGGAATGGATAGAAGAATAGCCAAAATGGCGCGGACTCAGCCAACAATCAGCTCCAGGAAGATGAAAGAAGGTGTGACGTTCCCTGTGAGGACTCAGCCAACAATCAGCTCCAGGAAGATGAAAGAAGGTGTGACGTCCCCTGTGAGGACTGTTACAATTAGAAGACGCCGATGTGAAGCCAAGCTATCTGCAAGAAGTCCCCGTAAAGTCCCACTGTTGGAAAAAGACGTGCTGAAGAGGTTACAATCTGCCAAAGAGCACATTGACCGGCCTAAAGAGAAATGGCGCAACATTTTGTGGACTGATGAAAGTAAGATTGTTCTTTTTGGGTCTAGTGGGTGGAGACAGTTTGTCAGACGACCCCCAACAAACACTGAATTCAAGCCACAGTACACTGTGAAGACAGTGAAGCATGGTGGTGCAAGCATCATGATATGGGGATGTTTCTCATACTATGGTGTTGGGCCTATTTATCGCATACCAGGGATCATGGATCAGTTTGAATACATCAGAATACTGGAAGAGGTCATGCTGCCTTATGCTGAAGAGGAAATGCCCTTGAAATGGGTGTTCCAACAAGACAACGACCCCAAACACACCAGTAAACGTACAACATCTTGGTTCCAGACCAACAAGATTGACGTTATGGAGTGGCCAGCCCAATCCCCGGATCTTAATCCAATAGAAAACTTGTGGGGGTGACATCAAAAATGCCGTTTCTGAGGCAAAACCAAGAAATAGAGAAGAACTGTGGAATGTGGTCCAATCATCCTGGGCTGGAATACCTGATCACAGGGGCCAGAAGTTGGGTGACTCCATGCAACACAGATGTACAGCAGTTCTCAGAAACAGTGCGACTACAACCAAATATTCATGAAGTCATTCAAAGGAAAGCAAAATTTTCAAACATTTCTCAGTTTATATAGTGAATGTTTGAGTTTGTAAAGAAGAATACAAACACTGCGATTTTTTTGAACCGTCTAATATTCACTTTTCTTCAATTTGTTTAGAGGAACAACACAAATTTGATGTATTTTTCTTCATGTTGTGATTTGGAATAGAATGTGTCGTGTTCCCAATGCATTTGTGTGGATGGAAATAAAAGCTATTGGAAGGATTTTCAGCTTTATTTACTTTTTTCAACACACTGCTATTATTTGTAACAAAACTGTAGCTGTGGTTAGAGTTGCGAATGGCTTTGTGCGTCGGTAATATTTTGTATTTATTTTAGTTATTATTATACAGGATTTATGGCACCAACAGTTTGCTGAGCGCTTTACAATACAGCGGGAGACAATACAGCAACAATACAGTTCAATACAAGAGGGTTAGGAGGGCCCTGATCCTGGGAGCTTACAATCTAAGCGGGAGGGGCTGGTGGTACAAAAGGTAATAACTGTGGGGGATGGACTGGTAGGAGGAACAGAAGATTCCATTATTAGCTGAGGGCAGGATAGGCTTCCCTGAAGAGAGAGGTTTTCAGAGATCACCTTAAAGTGAGCAGAGTAGGCGATAGGGTGATAAATTGGGGGTAGCGAGTTCCAGAGGATGGGAGAAGCTCTGGAGAAGTCCTGGAGACGAGCATGGGAGCTACACAGACAGAAAATGTCCCCCCCGTACACTTGCCAGCCTGCAAAAAAACAAATTGACCCTGTCTAACAATTTATGTTAAAAACGGGGTTTAGTTGCACACATCTGCAAATTTATGTGGAAGCTGCATTGCCCACGTCAAGGCTCCTATCTGTACTGGGGTCCTAACTCTATTTTTGAGACTCTCCAAGGTGGAACACATATAGCAGGATAAAGTAAGGGTACGTTTGCCTGGAGGGAGCCCACCCTTCCTTAAAGGCAAAGGGACACATTGGATGCCTACTTTAAAGCACAATGGCGGCTGGAGGCATCCTTTGTGTCCCCGTGCCAAATCAAATATTAGTTGTGCTATCGGAAGCCAGTGGAGGGATTGGCAGAGAGGGATGGAGGACACTGAGTGGAGGCCAGTGGAGGGATTGGCAGAGAGGGGTGGAGGACACTGAGTGGAGGCCAGTGGAGGGATTGGCAGAGAGGGGTGGAGGACACTGAATGGAGGCCAGTGGAGGGATTGGCAGAGAGGGGTGGAGGACACTGAGATGGAGGGATTGGCAGAGAGGGATGGATTGGCAGAGAGGGATGGACACTGAGTGGGGGTCAGTGGAGGGATTGGCAGAGAGGGGTGGAGGACACTGAGTGGAGGCCAGTGGAGGGATTGGCAGAGAGGGGTGGAGGACACTGAGTGGAGGTCAGTGGAGGGATTGGCAGAGAGGGGTGGAGGACACTGAGTGGAGGTCAGTGGAGGGATTGGCGGAGAGGGGGTGGAGGACACTGAGTGGAGGGCAGTGAAGGGATTGGCAGAGAGGGGTGGAGGACACTGAGTGGAGGTCAGTGGAGGGATTGGCAGAGAGGGGTGGAGGACACTGAGTGGAGGTCAGTGGAGGGATTGGCAGAGAGGGGTGGAGGACACTGAGTGGAGGGATTGGCAGAGAGGGGTGGAGGGATTGGCAGAGAGGGGGATGGAGGACACTGAGTGGGGGTCAGTGGAGGGATTGGCAGAGAGGGGTGGAGGACACTGAGTGGAGGCCAGTGGAGGGATTGGCAGAGAGGGGTGGCAGATGCTGAGCGGTTAGTAAGGTGGATGATATGATTGGCGTAGAAAGCTGCCTTACTGATTTAACACAGCAGCTAGGATACCAGTACACATGGGTACCCCAGTTTGTTTTGGGAGATCCTGACAGATTTAATTTTTTTCTCTTCTGGGAAAAGCTGTTTTACTGATATTCCAAGGCAGAGGAATTAGATGTCATTGGGACCCTCTATTTCTTTTTCCCTGTTGTAGGCTGCACAGCACTGCCAGAAACAGTCTACGGAGCTCTTCCAGTGCATGTTCTTCAAAGATAAGGACCCGGAAAATGACCAACGCTGCACTTGTGACGCCATTATATACTCAATCCGCACGAATGGAGTGTTACTCTTCGTACCCAGGTAGGAATGTTTCCACCTTCTAGATGGGATATACAGGATACTATCAGACCTCATGTACACATGAACTATCCTAGACATTTAGCTCTCCTGACACCAGAAAACCGCTAAACGTGACAAAGACGAGTGTAATCGCGGTTCCTTGTTTAGCTGTGTTAAGTGCTTGGACTTTTATTCATTTGATTGGCCAGAGTATATACTATTGACATGAATAAACACTCAAGACGCATTTAGACACATTGTCACCGCGTTTTCTATTATTATCATTACAGGTACTTTTATATAGTGCTGTCAATTTTGTTTACTAACGTCTCGGTTAACATAATTTTCGGTTTACGCATGAAAATCCATTGAAAATAACGTCTCGGTTTACGAATTTATTTCGCAATATGAACAGATTAATTGGTTTTCAATGCATTTACGATTTTTTTTTTTAATCATGTCCCTGTACAGTATTTAAAGTGCCTTTAAAGTACACTTTATAAAGAGTTTTGAACAGATAAAACTTTTTTTCTGACCTCCAGAACGGATTAATTTGTTTTCATTGCATTCCAATGGGAAACCGCGTTTCAGTGTACAAATTTTTCGCAATACAAAAAGTTCCGCAGAACGCATTAAATTCATGAACCAAGGCACGCCTGTGTGTGTATGTATATATATGTATATGTGTGTGTGTATATGTGTGTGTGTATATATATGTGTGTATATATATGTGTGTATATATATATATATATATATATATATATATATACAGTCAGGTCCATAAATATTGGGACATCAACACAATTCTACCATTTTTGGCTCTATACACCACCACAATGGATTTGGAATTAAACGAACAAGATGTACTTTAACTGCAGACTGTCAGCTTTAATTTGAGGGTATTTACATCCAAATCAGGTGACCGGTGTAGGAATTACAACAGTTTGCATATGTGCCTCCCACCTGTTAAGGGACCAAAAGTAATTGGACAATTGGCTTCTCAGCTGTTCCATGGCCAGGTGTGTTATCCCCTCATTATCCCAATTACAATGAGCAGATAAAAGGTCCAGAGTTCATTTCAAGTGTGCTATTTGCATTTGGAATCTGTTGCTGTCAACTCTCAAGATGAGATCCAAAGAGCTGTCACTATCAGTGAAGCCATCATTAGGCTGAAAAAACAAAACAAACCCATCAGAGAGATAGCAAAAACATTAGGCGTGGCCAAAACAACTGTTTGGAACATTCTTAAAAAGAAGGAACGCCCCCGTGAGCTCAGCAACACCAAAAGACCCGGATGACCACGGAAAACAACTGTGGTGGATGGGCGAAGAATTCTTTTCCTGGTGAAGAAAACACCCTTCACAACAGTTGGCCAGATCAAGAACACCCTCCAGGAGGTAGGTGTATGTGTGTCAAAGTCAACAATCAAGAGAAGACTTCACCAGAGTGAATACAGAGGGTTCACCACAAGATGGAAACCATTGGTGAGCCTCAAAAACAGGAAGGCCAGATTAGAGTTTGCCAAACGACATGTAAAAAAGCCTTCACAGTTCTGGAACAACATCCTATGGACAGATGAGACCAACATCAACTTGTACCAGAGTGATGGGAAGAGAAGAGTATGGAGAGAGGAACTGCTCATGCTCATGAACTCATCAGTGAAGCATGGTGGTGGTAGTGTCATGGCGTGGGCATGTATGGCTGCCAATGGAACTGCTTCTCTTGTATTTATTGATGATGTGACTGCTGACAAAAGCAGCCGGATGAATTGTGAAGTGTTTCGGGAATATTATCGGCTCATATTCAGCCAAATGCTTCACAACTCATTGGACGCTTCACAGTGCAGATGGACAATGACCCAAAGCAGACTGCAAAAGCAACCAAAGAGTTTTTTAAGAGAAAGAAGTGGAATGTTCTGCAATGGCCAAGTCAATCACCTGACCTGAATCCGATTGAGCATTTCACTTGCTGAAGACAAAACTGAAGGGAAAATGCCCCAAGAACAAGCAGGAACTGAAGACAGTTGCAGTAGAGGCCTGGCAGAGCATCACCAGGGATGAAACCCCAGCGTCTGGTGATGTCTATGCGTTCCACACTTCAGGCTGTAATTGACTGCAAAGGATTTGCAACCAAGTATTAAAAAGTGAAAGTTTGATTTATGATTATTCTGTCCCATTACTTTTGGTCCCTTAATAAGTGGGAGGCACATATGCAAACTGTTGTAATTCCTACACCGTTCACCTGATTTGGATGTAAATACCCTCAAATTAAAGCTGACAGTCTACAGTTAAAGTACATCTTGTTTGTTTAATTTCAAATCCATTGTGGTGGTGTATAGAGCCAAAAAGGTTAGAATTGTGTCCATGTCCCAATATTTATGGACCTGACTGTATGTATGTATGTGTGTGTGTGTGTGTGTGTATATGTATGTGTGTGTGTGTATATATATATATATATATATATATATATATATATAAATGTACACACACTATATTGCCAAAAGTATTGGGACACCCCCTCCAAATCATGTGATTCAGGTGTTCCAATCCCCTCCAAATCATGTGATTCAGGTGTTCCAATCGCCTCCATGGACACAGGTGTATAAGATCAAGCCCCTAGGCATGCAGACTGCTTCTACAAACATTGGTGAAAGAATGGGTCGCTCTCAGGAGCTCAGTGACTCCAAGCGTGGTCCCGTGATAGGTGGCCACCTGTGCAATAAGTCCATCCGTGACATTTCCTGGCTACTAAATATTCCACGCTCAACTGTTAGTGGGATTATAACAAAGTGGAAGCAACTGGGAACAACAGCAACTCAGCCACCAAGTGGTAGGCCACGTCACGTGACAGAGCGGGGTCAGCGCATGCTGAAGCGCACAGTGCGAGCAGTGGAGACTTATTCTCTGGAGTGACCAATCATGCTTCTCTGTCTGGCAATCCGATGGATGTGTCTGGGTTTGGCGGTTGCCAGGAGAACGGTACTTGCCTGACTGCATTGTGCCAAGTGTGAAGTTTGGTGGAGGGGGGATTATGGTGTGGGGTTGTTCTTCAGGGGTTGGGCTTGGCCCCCATGTTCCAGGGAAGGGAACTCTTAAGGTGACATTTGGACAATTTCATGCTCCCAACTTTGTGGGAGGAGTTTGGGGATGGCCCCTTCCTGTTCCAACATGACTGCGCACCAGTGCACAAAGCAAGGTCCATAAAGACATGGAGGAGCCAGTTTGGGGTGGAGGAACTTGACTGGCCTGCACAGAGTCCTGACCTCAACCCCATAGAGCACCTTTGGGATGAATTAGAGCGGAGTCTGCGAGCCAGGCCTGTAGCAAACTAGCTCATCAGAGTTGGAGCGGAGTTCTCCTTTTCCATTTTTTCTCTTTTTTATTCGAGATATTTTCTATTCCTCAGCCATCATTCCTCACAACCCCCCCCTTTCCAGTCCTGAGAGGCAAACTTTATTTCCTGATAGATGGTGTGGGTCAGCAGGTTAAGCATCCCCAGTTGGTGCAGCAGTTTGCCAAAGTGTAACTTTCTCCCCCATCGTAATCAAGATAAGATAGCTTCTCTCCTGGGCTTGAAAGAGAATTCAACATTCCTCAGGTCAACTGTATGTTTCATATCATGGGGTATGAAGCTGTAGTTTAATTCAGAGTTTCCCACTGACCACTCCCAAAACGTGTAGTCAGAGGAGCCCCCCTCCCTTTGAGAGGGACTTTTAAGAAGAGACAAGTTAGAGTTTACACACAGATCTCCCAGCTGAACATCGTAACAAAAGGAGATCAAAGAATCACCCTGCTCTGCAGCTTGAATCTGCAAAACCAAGGCAAGGCAAGTAACTTAACCCTGGAATCTTCTTCCTATTATCTTGCTGCTGTGTCTTTATATACATATATATATATTTTGTGACATCTCTTTGTAAATATTTTATTGCACCTGTTTGACTCTTTTAGTAATAAATCTTTCTTTCTGAAAGTGTTAAACTGTTTTTAAGCGATTACCTGCAATTCACAAATTCCTGCCTTTCGAAGAGACGCTACTGTGTTTGTTTACTCCCTGCCCAATTGACCATATTGGACAGGTGACCTTTCAATCATTATAGTGTATTTCTGACAGAGTCCGTCTTCTCTGTACATTTCAAGACGGTGGTGGCAGTAGAAGGGTTAGTGGTGTAATTAACCCGACCCAGTAACAAGCGCATTCAGGCTGCAGGCACGGATTGTAGCCCATTAGCTGGACAATCGCTGTGCAGGGTGCAGCTAGGTGGGGCATTGTTACGCGCGTCACACCGCGGTTTTAGATCGGCCGGGTCCTTCGGTCATGAGTTTGGTGAGAAGGTCTGGGGTCTGACGCCGTGAGCGTGATGTATTACTGTTAGTCGCGGTCGTGCGATTGTCGCATGTTGGTGGCGGCGACCGTGGATCCGTGACAAGGCCTCCTCCCCCGACATAAGTGCCTGACCTGACAAATGTGCTTCTGGAAGAATGATCCAACCTTCCCATAGACACCCTCCTAAACCTTGTGGACGGCCTTCCCAGAAGAGATGGGGGGCCATTAAAGGTCATGTGCGTGGAAAGGGTGGGGCCAACTCAATATTGAACCCTACGAACTAAGACTGGGGGGCCATTAAAGGTCATGTGCGTGGAAAGGGTGGGGCCAACTCAATATTGAACCCTACGAACTAAGACTGGGGGGCCATTAAAGGTCATGTGCGTGGAAAGGCCGGCCCACCAATACTTGGGGCAATATAGTTTATAAATTACAGCCAGCCTTGCACATTGGTTTTCAGGCGATGCATCTTCCTAAGTGATTCCGGCTATATATTTTATATATTTTATATATTGTATATATTTTATGTACTGTTACAGGTACGGCATAAAAGGAGCCGCGTATTTGAAGAACTTGGAAGGCTTAGTCTTGACCTTTACTGATGATGGCTGTAGTTGGATCTCTGGATCGCTACAACGCCTCCCGGACCGAATCACAGTAACAACTGTTGGGGGACAGCAAACCTCGTTCTGTCTGTTTGATCATGTGACCGTAAGTAATGAGTGATGACCACAGGCAAATATGATATAAAGAGACTGTGCCAATGCAAGAGAATTGAAGCTCTAAGTTTAGCTAAAATAAAAAACATAAAATAATCAACACAAGGGAGGCATTAGCAGTGGGTATGACATGTCCCTTATGCTGAATCGTCTTTTTTTTCACAATTTTTATTTCTACAGTCCCACTTTAACAGACCAAGCTGTCCAACAAAAGTGGCAGTTAGAGGGTTGAGAGAAATCATTTACCACTGACAGGAGCGCTTACAATGATCAGCTTTTATTCATTTATGTAAAACCTTTATCCCAAAACGAAGAAAAACGTTACTGTAACTGCCTAAAAAGTGTTATCTGGAGTTTGGCTTTAATCACTTCCCGTCCGGCCATTGTATATAAATGGCCGGACGTTGGCAGTGCGGGGTCGGGTGGCTGTTTATAAATGGCCTCCCCGCCCCCTGCTTGTGCGCGCTTCCTGGGAGCGCGCAGCACCGTGATCCAGTGCCAGTTGTGTCCTCCGGACACAGTGGAACACCGATCGTCGTACGGGACCTCTGCAAGGTCCCGATCATGTGATCACTGATTGGCCAATCAGTGATCACATGCAGAGTAGTAAGGAAGATGTCACTTCTGACATCATTGCTTACTACGTCTGAAATCTGTGAATGATCACAGAGTTCACATGGTACAGGGCTATTCACAACAGCCTTGTACCATGTGACAAGCTGTGACCAATCACAGCTCACACAGTAGTTCTCAATGGCTGCAAGAATGTAGCCAGAGAGAAGGAGAAATGATTGCTTTTACAGCGTTTATGGGTGTAAAAGCAATCGGTGTTAAAAAAAAAAAATCTTCATCACCCCCCCACAAGTAGTACAGTGTCACCATGGTGACACTGTACTGCTAGGGTGACAGTATGTAAAAAAAATATATATATATATATATATATATATATATATATATATATATATATATAACTAATATAAAAAAATGTAAAAAAAAAGTTTAAAAATTATAATTTTTGGTTCTAAACTAATTTAGGTTATTTTTTTTTATTTTTTTTTTTACTAAAAAGATAACTGAATACATTTTGGCCAAGATTTATGAAATATTATTTATTTGCAAAATTTTATAAGAAAAACTTTTTTTCAAAATTTTTGTACATTTTCATTTACATAGCAAAAAAAATAAAAATCCCAGCGGTGAATCAATACCACCAAAATAAAGCTTTATCTGTCTCAAAAAAATGCTAAAAAATTCCTATGGGTACAGTGTTGCATGACCGCGCAATTGTCATTGAAAGTGTGATAGCGCTGAAAGTTGGAAATTGGCCTGGACAGGAAGGGGGTGAAAGTGTCCGGACTGGAAGGGGGTGAAAGTGTCCGGACTGGAAGGGGGGGAAAGTGTCCGGACTGGAAGGGGGGGAAAGTGTCCGGACTGGAAGGGGGGGAAAGTGTCCGGACTGGAAGGGGGGGGTGAAAGCGTCCGGACTGGAAGGGGGGGGGTGAAAGCGTCCGGGCTGGAAGGGGGGGGAAAGCGTCCGGGCTGGAAGGGGGAGGAAAGCGTCCGGGCTGGAAGGGGGGGGAAAGCGTCCGGGCTGGAAGGGGGGGGAAAGCGTCCGGACTGGAAGGGGGGGTGAAAGCGTCCGGACTGGAAGGGGGGGGTGAAAAGCGTCCGGACTGGAAGGGGGGGGTGAAAAGCGTCCGGACTGGAAGGGGGGGGTGAAAGCGTCCGGACTGGAAGGGGGGGGTGAAAGCGTCCGGACTGGAAGGGGGGGGTGAAAGCGTCCGGGCTGGAAGGGGGGGGTGAAAGCGTCCGGGCGGGGAAAGCGTCCGGGCTGGAAGGGGGGGGAAAGCGTCCGGACTGGAAGGGGGGGTGAAAGCGTCCGGACTGGAAGGGGGGGGTGAAAGCGTCCGGACTGGAAGGGGGGGGTGAAAGCGTCCGGGCGGGGAAAGCGTCCGGGCTGGAAGGGGGGGGAAAGCGTCCGGGCTGGAAGGGGGGGGGAAAGCGTCCGGACGGGAAGGGGGGGGGTGAAAGCGTCCGGACTGGAAGGGGGGGGTGAAAGCGTCCGGGCGGGGAAAGCGTCCGGGCTGGAAGGGGGGGGAAAGCGTCCGGGCTGGAAGTGGTTAATGTAAGGCAAGTTCATCTAAATCTAGGGCTGTCCATAGATGAGTCAGTTTTTTCTTTTCATTCAACCAGCGAGTTGAATGACAAAAGCTGACCGATTTCCGCATCCACACATTTAATATAGATAGGGTAATCCTTCCCAATGTGTTATTATATTCTGCCAGCAGGGAGACTTCTCCACTGTCAGGAAACACAGATCAGTGCTGCAGCCTGTGGCCTGCAGCGCTGATTGAGTTGCTTTTTTCCAACAGAGAGATTGAACAGAAGACGATTGGTAGCTTGACTTCTGTTCAACCACAGTGTCATATATGGATTGAAATTCAACCGGGAGCTACTCTCCCCCCAACATTGATAATGCTGCTGTCCAAGGGTTTCCATTGCTCCTCCATCCAGAGTGGAGACACCCTAATGCAGGCCATAGATGGGCCGTTTATCGGCCGAATTGTCGGCCGATAAACGAAAAATCGGTCGGTCACCATCGTCTGCGAAAAACAGCCGTTTTTCGTGGATTTTCCAGCATGACCAATAAAAGTAAATGAGACGATCCATGAAAAACAGGCGACAGGCGGGCCCCACTAACGGTGTGAATATCGGCCAATTTTTCATGTGGACGAAACATCGGCCGATAAACGACCCGTCTATGGCCTGCATAAGACAGGAAGTGTGTTACTGGCAGGTTTTGCAGCTTGATAACAAATGAAAACAAAAACTAATGCAGCCACCACATTTACAGACTGGTAAACTGGATTAAATTACATTTTTGTTTTGGGATTTTTGGGATTGTATACCACTTACATACCATATTAAAGTGGAGTTCCACCTAAAAGAAAATAAATAAATGAAAGTCAGCAGCTACAAAAACTGCAGCTGTTGACTGTTAAAATAGAGCCACTTACCTGTCCCTCGGTCCAGCGGTGTCCTCACCACGGCTGATTTCACTGGCCGCTTTCTCTCCCCGGCGCCGGAATCTTCAGTGTGGGCCCCCGGCTGTGACAGCTTGCGGAAACACATCCGGGTGCCCACTGCGCATGCGCGAGAAGCGCTCCACTTTGTGAATGGCCCCGTAGTCTTCTGGGACCTGTCACGTGTCCCAGAAGACTACGGGGGGGGGGGGGACAACTTCTGCTTCCGATCGCCTAGGGGAGCGGGCACCTGTCAAATTCGGGTACCCGTTCCCCAAAGGTGCCAATCCTTACTGAAGAGTGGGGGACAAAGGCTTAACGCGGAACTTCCCCTTTTGGGTGGAGCTCCGCTTTAAAGGCTCGGTTTTTATTTTTTTAAAAATAACAAACATGTTATACTTACCTGCTCTGTGTAATGGTTTTGCACAGAGCAGCCCTGATTCTTTTCTTCTGTGGTTCCCCTGCCGATGCTCCTGGCCCCTCCCCCATGCTGAGTGCCCCCATAGCAAACCGCTTGGGGGCACTCGTGTGTGCTCGCTCCCAAGCCCCACTCCATTGACACACTGATTGGGGCTCAGCCACACACCCCTCCCTCCTCGCTGGCTGTGATGGACAGCAGCTGGAACCAATGGCTCCTGCTGCTGTGTCTGAGCCATTGAGGATGGACAGAGCTGGGAGAGCAGCTGCTCTTTTGCACAGAGCTGGATTGAGAGCAGGCTCAGGTAAGTACTAGGGGGCTGGTAAGGGAGAGGGGGCAGCTGAATACAGAAGGATTTCTACCTTCGTGCATACTGTCAGGGCTCCAGGTATGACCAGAGGTGTGTGGACTGACACAGGGAAACGCAGGCTTCAGATATGGTATAAACAATATAATTTATTAAGACTAACAATACAAAACGCAGTGCAAAACTAAACATAAACACAGTGCAAATAAACCAAACCAAACCACCGATAACAATACATACAATACAAAGAGTAGTCAGGCAGGCCGGGTCAGTAGCAAACGGGCAAACGGAACCAGGAACAGGTGGGAGAGTGGTTGGGGTCACAAGCTGGGTTCAGTAACTAACGGGCAGGTAGGTACAGAGGGTCGGGCAGAGAATGGTCAGGGTCACAAGCCAAGGATCAAGCAGGAGAAGTCAGCAGAGGTCAGGATCAGGCAGGGTCAGCAACAAGTCAGACAGGAACAGGAATACAGGATACAAGGTACAGGGGCCCATGGAAAAAACACACACCAAGGCCCTGACTGTGAGTCTGGCCATTCCTTAAATACAACCCCTGCAATCAGCTTCAGGTGTTTGGCTGATTGCAGGGGTGAGTCTCTGATTGCTGAAAGCACCCGCTGGCCAGCCCTGGTACTGCAGCCCACAAGGCAGGGGAGTCCCACCATTATTGGCAAGTCCATTCCTGACACATACAGTACATGAAGGGAAAAACCCTCCAGCCTTTACAACCACTATCAATGCAGATCAGCGTGCCAGTTTCTGTACGGTTTGTTTGTCAGTCTGGTCATTTCTAAACCACTTTTATTATAAAATGAGTGAGCTGCTTATTTTTTTCTTTCTCTAATAGGTACGAATCCGGATACAAAGCTTCCGCTTCCATGCAGACAGCATTCGCTTGGACATCATTAGTAATAAGCCCCATGTCTCCCAGCAGGACCTGCCCTCCAACACCAGCTCTAATCTGGGCAGGACGGAACTCGTTAGGGAGGTGACCCGTACAGCAATAGAGGCTCAGCTGGCTAAAGAAGAGGGGGCGGCAGAGAAACAATTTCGAGTTACAAAATCGGGAATATCGACAAACTCGGGGACGGAGCCTGTATGCCTTACTGGAGGAGGTTCATGACCTGGCACTGCTTAGTCTGTCCAAGGAATGACTGGCGGGGTCAGATCCCTCTCCAGTGTGTGTGACTGAAAAGAAATGGATCTCGCTAACAGACTTGGGAGTGATGAACAGTCAAGTAATCCTTACTAGTTGGTAATCCTTGCAATCAATGGCAGCTTTGTTTTTTTTTTTTTTATAGTGTTTTTTTTATATATATTTTTTTTTTTTTTTTTTCAAGTGATGATTTTATAAAAATCTGAAGTAAAACGATCCTCCATACCAGCATTTGGTTATCTTCTACTTCAAGTAGAATTCCAGCCTAAACGTAGTTTTAAAATGCTCCCGACAACCCCACCCTCCCCACCACACGTGTGCTGACTAACCGGTGTAAAAAACTATAATTGCCTATTTTCAGGTCATGTGATCCGGTTGCTCTGTGTCAGCCAGCAGCAGCTGCAGGGGAGAGGAGGGAACATCAACAACAGATGGGCCATAGGAGCCTGTGGGTGGCATCACCACTCCAGCCTTTACCAGCCGTTGTTGAGCTTTCTCCGCTCTCCCTTGCAGCCATCGCTGGCTGACACATGGGATCATTAGCTTGCTCTGGGGGCACTGAGCAGGAGGGAGGGGCCAGAAGCAGTGTCGGGGTATCTGGGAAGAGGAAGATCGGGGTGGGGAGGGGACATTTTTAAGGCTAGTTAGGTTTCAAGTGCTTGTAAAAGCTGAAGGTTTTTAACCTACATGTATTCTATATCCCATAGACACTCAGACGGCTCGGGAGAGAGCACGCATGAGCGCCTCCATAGCAAGCAGCTTGCTCTGGGGGCACTGAGCAGGAGGGAGGGGCCAGAAGCAGTGTCGGGGGGTATCTGGGAAGAGGAAGATCGGGGTGGGGAGGGGACATTTTTAAGGCTAGTTAGGTTTCAAGTGGTTAGAAAAGCTGAAGGTTTTTAACCTACATGCATTCTATATCCCATACACGCTCGGAGACGGCTCGGGAGAGAGCACGCATGAGCGCCTCCATAGCAAGCAGCTTGCTCTGGGGGCACTCAGCAGGAGGGAGGGGCCAGAAGCAGTGTCGGGGCATCTGGGAAGAGAAAGGTCAGGGCTGCTCTGTGCAAAACCATTACACAGAGCAGGTAAGTATGACCTTAAAAAGAAAAAAAAAAACCTTGTAACCACTTGAACCACTTTAAAGAGGCACTTCAGTCTTTTTTTTTAAAAACAGAATGAAGTCAGCCGTTACTAATGCTGTAACTGCTGACTTTTAAAAATCAGGGACTTACCAGTGCCTGGAATCGAGCGCCGTCTTCATGTAGCAGGTTCTTTTTACTGCCGCGGGTCCCTGGTGCCGCCATCTTGGATACGGAAGCCGGCTGTGACTTCCTGATATGTCACAGCCAGCTCCTCACTGATCATGCAGCATTCTGGGACTGGTTCTGCAACCTCTTGGAATGTTTGATGTGTGCGCACGACATTCTCACCTAGGTGAGAATTGAAGAAGTGGGAAAGGGGGTGCTTGTCCTAAAAGGAACCTACCCCCCCCCCCCCCCCATTAAAAAAAAAAAAAAAGAAAGTATTAAAAACTGCAAAAGTGTTAGAGACGGGGGTGGGGAGTGAAGGTTTGCTTCGAATAGCTGCAATCTGTTGCTCTGCTGTAATCCATATTTACTGCTGCGGCCCTAAAAACAACTGGCAGTACGATGTCCCTGCTATCAGGTATACACATGCCAGGGCCAATTTTTTGGGGGTTTTTTTGTTGTTTTTTTTCAAGGTAAAAAAGCAAAAAAGTAAAAAAAAAATTGGCCCTGGCATGTGTATACCTGATAGGTAGGTATAATTGTGGAGGAAAACCCAGCAAGAACAACATAGAATCGTCATGCAGACTGTGTCATTGGCAGCAGTTAGATCCGGGGCCCAATGCTGATTGCTTACCTAGCATGCCATAAAGCAGAAGACCTGTCATGACGGAAACATGGAGACCGCCATTGCGGACGTCTCCTCTAAATTCAACTTACTTACAGTATTTGAGTACTTTGAAACCACGAACAGGCAGGTAAGGCCGTTCGACTTTGTTCGGGGTGAGTTGCTTAGAAAGGTTGCCATTGGCAAAGCGGATAAATGTGAAGGGTTCTGGTCCACATCAGTCCATAATATCCAAACTGGCATGTTTCCAATGCAGGCCGAAAAGTAAATGCCGCCATTTTGTTTGCATGGGCAGCCCTCATGGTTTGTTTTTAGAAATCGCACCCAGTGTGTGTATCAACTTTCAACCTTCAGCATCCGCTGGACCTGGATTTGGGAGATCATGATTACTCCTGGCTCTGAAACAAAAGTACACCAACCTTGCGCATTACCTCAGTAAACAATTAGTGGATTTATTGATTTAACCCCTTCCCGTCCGGCCCATGTATAGAAACAGTGGACGGTGGCAGTGCAGTGGCGGGTTGCCGTTCATAATCGGCGCCCACCATTTTGGACTGTGCGCGCTCCCTGGGAACACACGCAATCCAGTGCTCACTGTGTCCAAACACCGATCGCTGTACGGGACCTCTGTGTGATGGTCCCGATTCATGCGATCCCTGATTGGCCAATCAGTGATCACATGAATAGTAGTAAACAAGATGTCACTTCTGACATCATTGCTTACTACGTGTGAAATCTGTGAATGATCACAAAGATCACATGGTACAGGGCTATTCACAACAGCCTTGTACCATGTGACAAGCTGTGACCAATCACAGCTTACACAGTATTTCTCAATGGCTGCAAAAATGCAGCCAGAGAGCAGGAGAAATGATTGCTTTTACAGCCTTTATGGGTGTAAAATCAATCAGTGTAAAAGAGAAAGAAAAAAAAAAAAATCCACCCCCCACAAGTAGTACAGTGTCACCATGGTGACACTATACTGCTAGGGTGACAGTATGTTATAAAAAAAAAAATAATATAAAGAAAAAATGTAAAAAAGACTTTTTGAAAAATAATTTTTGGTTATAAATTAATTTGGGTTATTTTTTTTTTTTCACTAAAAAGATAACGGAATAAATTTTGGTCAAGGTTTATGAAGAAATATTATTTATTTGCAAAATTTTATAAGAAAAAACACTTTTTTAAAATTTTTGGACTTTTTCATTTATATAGCACAAAAAAAAATCCCAGTGGTGAATAAATACCACCAAACTAAAGTTTTATCTGTCTCAAAAAAATGCTAAAAAAATTCATATGGATACAGTGTTGCATGACCGCGCAATTGTCAATCAAAGTGTGATAGTGCTGAAAGCTGAAAATTGGCCTGGACTGGAAGGGGGTGAAAGTGTCCGGACTGGAAGGGGGGGAAAGTGTCCGGACTGGAAGGGGGGGGAAAGTGTCCGGACTGGAAGGGGGGGGAAAGTGTCCGGACTGGAAGGCGGGGGGAAAGTGTCCGGACTGGAAGGCGGGGGGGAAAGTGTCCGGACTGGAAGGCGGGGGGAAAGTGTCCGGACTGGAAGGCGGGGGGAAAGTGTCCGGACTGGAAGGCGGGGGGGAAAGTGTCCGGACTGGAAGGCGGGGGGAAAGTGTCCGGACTGGAAGGCGGGGGAAAGTGTCCGGACTGGAAGGCGGGGGGAAAGTGTCCGGACTGGAAGGCATGAAGTGTCCGGACTGGAAGGCGGGGGGAAAGTGTCCGGACTGGAAGGCGGGTCGGGATGGAAGGCGGGGGAAAGTGTCCGGACTGGAAGTAGTCAAGAGATATACTCACAAAAGTAGCAATATAACAGACATATATAATCCAAAAACGAATCCATACGATAAGGAGACACGTGCGAAACCCATCAGAAGGAGAGAGACTCGGGGTGACATTGACGCGTTTCGAAGGGGGGGGGGGTCCCTTCTTCATCAGAGCTAATCAGACTGAGATAACCCTCCTCTATATATAGTCAGCGGTGTATTTACCACAAGGCAAACAAGGCGTTTGCCTAGGGCGGCATTTTTCAGGGGGGGGCAGTGTCGCCCTCCCCCAGAAGAAAGGGCACATGTGGCAGGGATGGGGACCTGGTGAAGCTCCGCCATGGAATCCAAGTAGGCTGTGTGCTGCTGGAGGGTGTCCGCTTCCTGCAAAAGGGAGACGCTGGGCTTGGAGGTTAAGGTTAGTGCTCCACCAAAGCTTGGCCATACATGGGTCAAATTCCGATCTTTTCTAAGAATTTTCGTTTGAATTTCGTATCATTAGTGGGCCACAGCGACGGACGATTTTCATGTGACCATCGAATTTGAGTGATCGGGCATGTTGGAACTTTTTTGAAAAACTACCAAATTTCTAATCAATGATGAGAGAATCGTGCGAGAAGTATAAACGAAAAAGAAATGAGCGTGAAATGTGAGCAGGAAAGAAAAGAAAATTCTGGGCCACGAAAATTCTTTTCTGTAGCAACATCTGAAACTGAAGGCTTGGTTGGTCGAATTTCTAAATCAATGGTGGCACCATCGGGTTACAAAACGCACAAAATTTCCAATTTTCTAAGGAAAATTTGTTTGCAATTCGAGCCGTGTATGGCCTGCATAAGTCTCTCTCTCTCTGCGAGCGGGATGGTGAGGGGGTGATTGGCGGAGAGTGGCATGACGGTGGTGGGGGGTGATTGGCGAAGAGTGGCATGGCGGTGGTGGGGGGTGATTGGGGAGAGTGGCATGGCGGTGGTGGGGGGTGATTGGGGGAGAGTGGCATGACGGTGGTGGGGGGTGATTGGCGGAGAGTGGCATGACGGTGGTGGGGGTGATTGGCGGAGAGTAGCATGGCGGTGGTGGGGGGTGATTGGCGGACAGTAGCATGGCGGTGCCGGGGTGGTGGGGGGTGATTGGCGAAGAGTGGCATGGCGGTGGTGGGGGGTGATTGGCGAAGAGTTACATAGCTGTGCTGGGGTGATTGGGGGGAGAGTGGCATGGCAGTGCCGGGGTGATTGGCGGAGAGTGGCATGGCGGTGGGGGGGGTGATTGGCGGAGAGTGGCATGGCAGTGGTGGGGGGTGATTGGGGGAGAGTGGCATGGCGGTGCCTGGGTGGTGGGGGATGATTGACGGAG